ATATAAAATAAAGAAAAAAAAAATTAGTAAAAAACAGAAAGTTGAAATCTCAAAAAATTCAAATCATTGTGCAACAAATTCTTAAAGTTTCAAAAAACAAAGTTTAGAGATATATATAGAAAAAAAAAAATTCAAAAAAAAAGAAGAAGATAATGTGCACATAACATCCCCCTATACTATGAGATTAATAGTATATATACCCCTTGGGTATTTTCAGAAGAGTAACAGGGCAAAACGGGTATTACAACACTAATTTATATCAAATTTTTGATTGAGTGGTATTTTTACGCAATGTAAAAATATTAAGGGTATTTTTTGCACACTTTTTTAAATATGTGGTAAAAGTGTTACGCGAATTATACTTTAAGGGTGTTTTCTGCACTTGTCCCTTATTGAATTTTTGTAATTATAATTATAAAAATAAAGAAAGAAGAAAAGAAAAGTGCTCAATATAATACTAAAATGTTTTGTATTCAAATTAATGGTGAAAAATGTGCTTAGCTAGCTCTTATGCCCACTTTAACCAAAAGAATGCTAGTAGCACTTATATTTAACACAAATAATACTATTTGTTGGGAATAATTAAGTCCATAAAATTCACTTAATGGTATGTTATTGTTGAGAGTTAAATTCCTTTTTCGTCACGCACAATGAAAATATTATCACATCACATCAACACAAGCATATATAGAGATAACAATTATATATATTCATGCACAACACAATATTGTACATGATTTACTCAACGCTAAGGTTACATCCATAAAGAAAGAAATTTCCACTACTATAAATCAAGAATTTTTTTTTTCTTCCTTGAATCTTGTTAAAGAAAATCATAAAAAAATTTAAAAGTAAAATGTCTAGCTATGAGTGTGATACCCCTCGGATCCGAGACATGGGTTGATCAGGCCCAGGCCCAAACCCGAGGGAATATCTAACAATTAATATTTTATAATGAACACGGAATACAAAATGAATTAAGAAATGAAATTAAAGCTGAAAGGAACTAAAAATAGAATCCGCAAAATATTATAATTATTAAAATCCATCAAACCCAAACTCCAAAACTCCATCAGTTTACAACTCGGGAATCCATCTCTAGTGGACCCCTATTAAACATCCAAACGGAAGATAAAACAACTGTAATAAACATCCAGAAATAAACTATGGAGAGAATCCTACATCGTCGGAAGAGTGAATAGAGACCTCTGCTCAGCACGAACACATTTAAGCCTAGAACTGTCGTGTACCTGAAAAAAATAGAAGTGGGTCAGGCCCACGTGCAAGTTCTATACTACTACAATCCAAACAGAGGCCCGATATGCATGTACATCCTAAACAATTCAACAATAGCTAATAGTCCGTAAATATATATATAGTCACACTAAAGGACTCTCACTGGACTACAGGCCGGTCTCAACCTGAATAGAGGTAACATGCTAAAACGCATAAGAAGTGGGCATGTGTACCTAAACCTAAACAGGGTACACCTCTAACCATCGTATCCAGCTATGCATCCCAATGCATATACGCTCCCTAATCGTCGATCCTGAGACTCAAACTCATATCGAAGTACCATAACAATATATTTAAAATCCATCCTGAATCCTAGTAGTGCCGCTCAACTAGTTGTTGCCATGACACTACAATCAATAGGACTTAACTTTTAGTTAATCCAATTCTTAATCCAGAGTAAGTAGGTTTTGGTATTTTGAAACCAAACCATCCCTAGTATACCACCGTCCCATACCGGTGTATATTATCTAATCATCCAGCAATTAATAATACAGACAACTACCATAAATATCAACTCAATCCATATCTCCCTTTCTGATACTAATAGTCATATTGTAAGCATCAATAAACACAGTCAACCATAACCATAAACATGCTCAGTTTTATATCCATTACTGATATTATCAATTAAGCACAGTTAAAATATTTTTCTACACATGCTCAGTTTATAGTGTTCCACAAAATCTGATTTAGTGCTAAGTTTAAATCTTATTAGCATCCAACATCCAGTAGTTGGTATTACAGTCAGTTAAGATAACCATTAACTATGTCCATTCCTCCAACAAGTAATACTAGCAGTGGTAAGATAAGCATCAACAGCAGAAACCACAGTATGTACATAAACATGCTTAATTTAAGTTGTTTTACCAAATTTCCTTTAGTGCCAAGTTTAAGACTTAATCTCATTCAACTCTAACATATCCCAGAAGAGTATAATTCAGATACATGCTCATGTTATAGAGTTTAACAAGTTCCAGTTATATCATCCGTCTCACAAGATTTCTATTGCAGAGAGAGTTAAACATTACTAACTTCACAGATTTAAACATAGTTTACATACCTGATTAGGTCCCTACTGTCCAAGCTAATTTAAGCAAGTAGACTTAATTAACACCACAACAGAAGCTTTAATCTAACCATATACATCAATTAAACCCTCCATAAGCACCCTGCATTCAACCGAATACTCCAGAAACAACTACTGCATGCAAAACTTACTGGAGAACAAAGGAAAAAAATAAAAATTCACCAAAGGAGACGTCTCCAAAAAGTGGAGCCACCTCCTTTAGACCTTGGAGCCTACTCCACTTTTTGGAGCCGCCTCCACCTAAAAAGGGAGCCGGCTCTCTCCCTCTCTGTCTCGTCTCTTCACCCTCTATCTTCGTTTTTACGCCTCTGCTACCTCACGCCATGATTTCCGGAGACTGTAACCCACTCCCAGTACATCCCAGTTTGTGCTTAAGTCCAGTTAACATTACACACATTGCTTTAAACAGAGATTCATGCAAGCAAACAACAGGTTCTTAACAGTTTTACAAAGCGTGAAAACTTACAGACCAGTTCCGGTTTAAGCACAAACAAAGAATGTTTTAATTGATCTGATTAATCCTAAAATTGTTTAAGAATGCAAAGAACACGAAACCTAAGGGAGAGAGTGAGGATAGAACTTGCCTTTTTGAGATTTTTGTTAAAAATCTCCATGTTGTCTTCTACGATCTCCGGCGATTCCTACTGCAAACTTCCTCTGTTCCTCGTCTCTATTTCCACAGACGTGTTTTGTGTTTTGTTTTTTTTTTTAAAAAACCCTAGTACAACATTATTATATCTATTTATAAGGTTACACAAACCTAAAACTAATTGAAGCCCTAATGTGAAACATAATCGGCCCATAACCCCATCTAAGTGAAAAACATGTCGGCTACTTACCACCAATCCTACAGTAACGTGAATTTAGGAAAACACTTTAATTTATTTTAATTACCAATTAACCAAAAACTAAATAAAACAATAATCAAAGAATTTACAGAATACAATTAAACCAATTAAAACATTAAATAAAACAATTAATGAAAAGAAAACAACTAATTACACTTAAACCAATTAAAACATTAAATAAAACAATTAATGAAAAGAAAACAACTAATTATACTTAAACCAATTAAAACATTAAATAAAACAATTAATGAAAAGAAAATAATTAAACAAAATACAGAGACTGTCCTTTTGAAAATTAAGGGTATTACAATGAGTGCAACTGCATGTTATATGTCTAGCATAATTAAATTCTACACAAAATCAAACAAAATGAGAGAAAAGCCTATTATTTTATGTCATTTAATTACTTTTTGTAATTAAAATTCATTTTTGTCGATCTAATTATTGACCAAGTGCCCATCTGATACATACATACATACATACATACGCATTGTATAAATAAAAAATATAAGATAAATAATATAATAATGATATGTATAATATATAATATAAGCAAACATATAAAAATTGAACTTATTTGTATTTGCACTCATATCTATGAATTTTACTTTTTGGATACTCTTTTTTAATTAAAAGTATGGTAATGTATCTAACATAAAGTATAAGTTTGAATATTATTATTCAAAAAAGAAAGAAATAAAAGGAATTTTTTTTATCTAAATTATCACAATTGGGAGAATTGCATAAAACACATTGGGGATTTTTGGCAAAATGTCAAAAAGTAAGCCCCTATTAATTTACAAAAAGTCATTGGTTGTTTTTTTTTTTTTTTTTGGGAGAAAAAGAAAAAATTTAAACGAGTTTTTTGCAAAATGTTACAAGTCAAGACGAGTTTAATGCAATTTATCCTAAATTATATGGATAGGTTCTTCTAACTTTTATTGTAGCTGAAACACAATAATAATACTGAACAAATTGAATTTAATCCGCTAATAAAATATCCTCATTTTATATGTAATGAAATATGTAATGCATCTTTTGGCCAAAAAAATAATTATAATTGTATTATGTCCTATAAATAGGCATCATATATATATATGTAATGGGCGTGTGTGAAAAAGAGGCATATAAATGAATTCCATCTCTCTTAATCCTACTATATATATATTACATATTACAACTATTTATAATTTTTAAAATTATATATATTACATATTACAATTATTTATAATTTTTAAAATTTTGGTTATTCAGTACTAGTTCGGCCCACTCTCAAAAGAAAAGTTTCCGAGTTGGCAGTTTTTCTTAGGACACATTTAGGTTCAGGTTCTCATTGCATCATTAAAACATAGTCTTATAAGTCCAAGAACATTGACCTAGTGAGTACTCGTCAAATTTTCATTAATGTTTTTCAGTACATCAAAGTGCATTTTTCTTCAGTACTTTCGGAATTATTTTAAAAATTTTCAAGGTTAATACATGTCCGTACATGTCAAAATGTTCAAAACACACAATTTATTTATTTATTTATTTTTTTTCCAAAATAAAATTAAATCCAAATTGAGACAGGGATCTAGATCAAAACACCGTGCCTGTACTGCAAACAAAACCTGGTTCCCAAAAGAAAAAGTTACTCTTCTAATTACATATAATCACACGTCGTCTATTATTTTTCATTTAAAACAGAGGAAATAACAGTCTTGAAGTTACAATTCGTACATATAAAGTTGTTCATCCCGATGGAAAAAAGAAATACTCCAAAAAAAAAATTATTCATCCTGAACATTCATACCTTGGAGAGTTTGCAGAACCCTGTCCATGGCGGGCCTATTGGAAGGAACCTGGTCAGTGCAATCGATCCCTAGCTTGAACACATCCGTCATTTCGTCCAAGTAACAAGCTTCTTTAATTTTCACATCCAATGCATCTTCTATGGGTTTGCCGTCGCGCATGTGAAGATGTGCCCATGCGGCTAGGCCAGCATATTCGCCTCCATCAGGGGCTTTCCTCCCAGTAGCCAATTCCAGAAGCACCACCCCGTAGCCAAACACATCAATCTTCTCGTTGGCTCTTTTGGTTTCAAAATACTCTGAAATCCATAGTCAATTAAAACCAAGAGATGAGCTTTGTATATAGTCTTGTTTTACTCTGAATTTTTTTATGGAACAACTAATATGGAACATCTTAAATAAAAAGATAAACAAGTAATATGAAATAGAGAGCACTATATATCACTAACCTGGAGCAATGTACCCAAATGAGCCAGCCACAAATGACATTGTCTTTGTCTCGGCGTGCTTTGTCATGGCCAAGCCAAAATCTGCTATTTTGGCATTGAATTTGGTATCTAACAAGATGTTGCTTGACTTCATGTCGCGATGGACAATAGGTCGTGAGCAGTCATGGTGCATGTAGCACAGCCCCCGGGCTGCTCCAACTGCAATCTTGAACCTTGTGGGCCAGTCCAGTACACCACGATGGACTGAAGAACCTGATACACTTGGCTGCCTCTTGCTTTCATGGAGCCATTCATACAAACTACCATTTTCCAGATATTCGTAAACAAGAAGTTTCGAGGCCTCATTTGACATATAGCACCACAATTTCACAATGTTGGAGTGGTGAATTCTGCCTAGTATTTCTGCTTCTGCAAGGAATTGGTTCACGATATTCCGGTCCGAATTTCTGTTGTTCCAAATCCTCTTAACAGCAAGGGGTGAGCCATTTACAGCAACACGGTACACTTCCCCCGAACCACCCCTTCCTATAATGTTATCTTCACTCAAGCAGGACAAAATTTCCAACTCTGTGAAGTTCAACTTCTGAAATGAAGAAACGGTCCACTTCAAATCCGATCCAACATTTCTCTTTGGTCGATTTTTGATCAGATGGAATGCAAACATAATAGCTAACACGAACAGAGCTATTGCTATTGGTACAAAGATAGCCAAAAGCAGGAAGAATAAATTTCTAGATTTTCGGTTGCTGGATGAGCAAACATCAAGACCTAGTAATGGGTTAGTTGCACAAAGACCAGGATTGTCTAGGAAGCTGCTATTGAAAACTGCATTCTCATATTCAACAGGGATTCTCCCAGTGAGACTATTCGAAGAGAGGTTGAGTGAATTTAGCCTTAAAAGACCAATTTCAGGTGGAATTTGACCCGACAATTCGTTTTCCGACAAGTCCAAATGAGTAAGGGCAGGCAAAAAACCAATAGCAGCTGGAATTTGCCCAGATAGTCTGTTTCCGCTCAGATTTAAAGTCGTTAGTGAATTCCATGACTTTATTTTTAAAGGCAAATTCCCAGAAAAGTGATTCCTATCAAGCAAAAGGGTGGTCAAAAGGGGGAGAGATGTTAACTCTTGTGGAATTGTACCGTTAAAGAGGTTGTTGCTTGCATCGAACACCATCAAATTCCTCCACGATGAAATCCCATTCCACGGAATTTCACCCGAAAACAGGTTGTTACTGATCTCAAGCAGCAGTAAGTTTGTTGCCAATTTCACAGGAAGATGACCGGTGAACATATTGTCGCTTATCATCAAAGTTGTCAAATTGAATGATGTCCACAAACCTGCCGGAATGTTGCCGGAAAGTCGATTACCATGCACCCTAACAGATAACAAGCTGCTGCAATTCCCAAGTGAACTTGGCAATTCACCGGTCAGATAGTTGTCCGATGCTGTGACACGTATCAACACTCCATTAGCGCATAAATTCTCAGGCAGTCGGCCTATAAACCCATTGGATGCCACTTGAAATTCTCTGAGCATTGAGTATATCCCAAAATCCGGTGGCAATTCCCCTGACAGATAGTTACTGAAGCACTGAATAACTTGCAACGCCGGAAGGCGGCCAATGCTCTCTGGGACTTCGCCGGAAAGTTGATTGGAAAACAGAGCCAAACCTTGCAGCTTTGTCAGTTTTCCGAAATCATCTGGTATTGTCCCTATCAATTCATTCTCTGATAAATCGATCATATCCAAGTTCAAAGCTTCAACTGATCTGGGAATTTCACCAGACAATTTGTTTCTTTGAAGATGCAGAGTAGTCAAATTCCTTAACAAAAACAGACCACTAGGAATGTTACCTGTCAACTGGTTTGCCGACAAGTCCAAGAGCTTTAAGGCCGTAGAATTCCCAATTGTCTCTGGGATTTTTCCGATCAAATTCGCCGTCGACAGCCACAAACTTTTGAGTTTCTTCAACTCCGTAAAACTCGAAGGTATCATCGATGGTGAAAACTCGTTGAATGCCATCCATAGCGATTCAAGATTTGACAAGTTCCCAATTTCTTGCGGGAACGTGCCGTTAAACTCATTCAGGTGAATCTGAAGAGTCCTGAGCTCGGACAACCGCCCAATTGAGGCGGGAATGTCGCCGTTGAAGTTGTTGTAGGCGAGGTTGAGGTCCCGGAGCCGAGAGGATAACCGGTTGACATCACCGGGAATTGGGCCGACGAAACGGTTAAGCGAAAGGTCAAGTGTTTGAAGCTTGGAACAGTTGTAGAGGACGGTAGGGAATAGTCCGGGGATGTTATTATTTTGAAGATCGAGAAGGGTCAAGCTTTGGAGGTCGCAAATGAATGGTGGGATTGTTCCGGTGATGTTTTTGTCAAGGAGTGAGAGTCCGGTCACCGAGCCACCGGCGCAGGCGATCTCAGGCCAGGTACAGTGTATTGAGGTTGTGTTTGTTGGTGATGATGAGGTCCAGTGTTTGATGGAGGGTGGATTGGACCAGTGTTGTTTCAGCTTCAGTAGGATTGCTTGCTCTGGATCCATGGTGGTTTGTGAGTTTCCATGGAATTGCAGGTTGAAAATGAGGAGAGAGAGTATGATTTGGAGAAATGTTGGCCGGGAAATTTTCGACATTTTGAGAGGTTGGTGTTGGGTTTTGGGCGGAGCAACTATTTGGTAGAGAATTTGTTGGGGCTATGTCAAAATTTTGTAGTGTGTGTATATATATATGTTTGTGTGCGCGCGTGTGTGGGGCCGTAGGGGGTTGTTGAGAGAGTGGGTGGGGAGGGGGGGGGGGGGGGGGGGGGGGTGTTTGGTAGATGAAGGTTTAATTTCAAACATAGATATATATAAATAAATAAACTATAGACTACGATAGGAGAAATTTACACCGTCCATTTGGGATTACTATACAATCAGGTTCAAAGTCAAAAACTTCGAAGGGCATTAGTTGTCTCCTTATCTAGGTATGTTTATCACTTTCATCACATCCGAACAGAATTAATGTTGTCATTTTGATCTCATGTATAAAGAAGCCAAGTTTACACGCAATTTATAATTATATTATAGTATGTGTACAAGAATGGGAACACGTAAGAAAATATATCCGTAGTTTTATTTATATATAACAAAAACAGAACATTGTACCTAAATGGTCATTAAACCGGACATCTTGCTTATTTTATATGACTCGCTAAAAAGTTGTCAACAGTTGTCATTTTGCATTTCTTTTAATATTTAAAACAGAAACAATGATTTTATTGTAAAGCATATTTATTTGTGTTTGAAAACATAAAATTTATTATAATTTTTTTAAAACAAATACATAAAAACATGTTTAGTAAAAAAAAATGTTAGTAAAAAAATAACTAGTTGAAAAAGGTCACCTAGAATTTATATTATTGTAGAATTATTTTTTGGCCTATTCACTATATATATATAGTACAAAAATATTTGGACATGCCAATTTTTTATTTGTAATTTGAGCCGAGCGCCTCCAAAGCGCACATACACTTATATAGTATATTATGTATGTATAAATTAAAAAATGTGTTTGAAATATAAGTAAGAAAAGATATATAATATTAACAATAATCAAAATACAAAAGATATATGATATTTTTTATTTTTAAAGAAATGAGACCTGAGAAATTCATATATTTATTCTAGGTTCTTAAAAATAGATTGTTTAAATTTTCATACATGAAATGATTACTTTTGAATAATTATAAAATAATAAACATCTAAATTAATAAAAGTAAAAGTAAAATTATCTATATAATTTGTTTGCAAATATATATGTATCTATACAATGTACACACACGTTAATACTTCTAGACTTAAATAAGAAAATAAAAATGAGCAATATGATATTTCTTTTTAACAATGTAGGTTTATTTTTCACATTTCTAACTTTTTTATATTGTACTATTAGGCACATTTGGTTATTGTCATTAACAAAAAAATATCACATGTGGTTGTTCACAATTCAATGAATGAGAAATCGTTGTGAATTCAATAATTCAATATTTGAATTCATAAATTGAAAAAATTGAATTCGTCAATTATAGACGAATTTGCTCTCAGAACATCAATTCGCGCGCAAAGTGCAAGAACAACACCACTTTAAAAAGATTGTGTGACTTAAAGTATCATTAACTCTTCTATTCATAATTAGTTAACTACTGAACTCTTTAAAAAAAGTGCTTAAATAAATAAATATATGTAAAAGATGAATATCTTATGAGTTTTCGTCCAATGTTCCCCACTTTGTCACAATAATAAATAAATAAAATAAAGATAACAACCATATAATAAGTTCTGAGACCTGCAAAGAATGTTGGGAGGAGGAATACTGAAAATAATCCTAATTAGTGTCATGCAAAAAAGTGTATGCATGAGGCAACATATGTGCTTGAATGAATTTACTTCATTGGATCAATCTGACTACATGTTAAATTTTAAAATTTAGTTAATTAGTAATAGCATGTAAAAAAATAAAAATAAAAAAGGTATCATTTTGGTATTGAAAAAAAAAAATTATAATAGGATACAACTTGAGTTGGCTAAACCGAACCCTCCACTCCTTCCTTTTTTTTTTTTCTTTTTTTTTTTTAACAGTTTTGAACGACCAATTCTACAATTAAGTTTGAATTTAGGTTGAAAAATGTCAACATAATTGGACTTAGATTGCGTGTGAACAACAAGAATCAAACTTAACCCTAAATTTTTATATTGGCTTTTGTATATTTATAGTTTTCAACAATAACTGATTTTTATAATAATGATTAATATTTTTTCCCAATTTATTTTCTTTAAATTTTATTTGTTGTATATTAATCCTTTGGAAAAGTTTGGATAACTATTTTTTTTGAGAATTTGTTTATAATTTTATATTTATTAATTTCACCTTTTAAAATTTATTATGCTTAAGAGAAATAAAATTCACCACTAATGCGAAATTGACTTGAGGTAGATTTAAGTTAAAAGATTATTTTTCAATTTTTTTTCTTTAAATTTTATTTGTCAATTTTGAGCAATGTGAATAAGAATAAGGTAAATTGCATTGATATTTTCTGAGATTTCAGTCAATATCACTCAGATGTCTTTTTAACAATGACACATCATATGGTTTCAAATGTCATATTTGTCTCTGATTATTTAATTCAATTCATTTATAAAATATAAGCCCTATTAATTAACAAAACTACCATTAAGCCTTTTTTTCTATCCTAATTTTTAACTTTTAAAAAAAAAAAAAATCTATAATAAAACTAAAAACTGATATATATATATATATATATATACACTTTAATGGGTGTGAGTAGATTTCTTTACACCGTTTACTAACATGAGGCAGGGTATGAGGCAACTTCATAAAGCTATGAGGCAGGGTCCACTAGCCTAACTTCATAAAGGAGTTGTGGTTGAAATTCTTGTACACATTCGTACTTGCCAGTGAGATAAAAAGACACAGAAAAATTCATTTAGATCTTCAAATAAAGGATATATTGAGAGAGAAGTGATAAGCTGTGGATAAGAGGGGAGATTTTAAAATTTAGAGGTTAGTTTTGTCTTAAAAATGCTATACATTGGTCGGCTTAAATTCAATTTTTATTTTTTTTATTAATTTTCACCCTAACTTACTTTTTTAATATTTTTTATTTAAAAGGTCACGTTGACCAGATATTTTGGGCAACATAGAAAGTTCTCGTGTGCTTGATGGATATTTCCTCTCCTAGTGGCTCCCCCTAGCCAACCCATATTTAATTTTGTAGGTGTAATAAGTAGTTTAGCTGATAAAGTTTATGCTTAATCTTACCTGGAATTTTTTATGGAATTATGTTGAACAATACTCCGTATGTGTTTAGAGAAGAATATTATACTTATAAAATAAAAAATAAAAATAAAAAGGATTTTACCGCTAATTTCAAATTTGCTTTAATATAAGTAATGTAACGATCTTTGAGAGCAGGTGCAAGCAAGTTGTCACACTCGTAAGTTATCGATATCATAATCTCATATTGTAAGGGTTGACAATTTGTATTCGTGAGTCGTGCTCATGTCGTATCGAATTATGAGTATTGTACTAAATAGGTAAATCTAAACTATTTAATAATCGTGTCAAGAGTTCTCAACATTAATCCAACCGGTTTATTAAACAAATAAACGTATTAACTCATTTAATAACCTATTTATCAAAACGAAACATTTAATATTTAATCAAATACTAAATAATAGAAAAAAATTGTCATAATTAATCTAAATATTCAAAATAAAAAGAAAACCCATAAGACATAGACAAAGTTTATGTGAAATGACTTAACTATCCATAATAATTGATTTTAAACGAGTAACATATTAAATAGCTCATATTTACGATTATAATATGTTGAGTTAAATGGGTCATAAACGGGTTACACGGATTGAACCCCTCAACCTTAACCCGACACAGTTAAGTAAACAGATTAATCGTATCGACCTTTTTATGACCCAAACCCATTTAAGCCAAACACAAACCCTTTTAACTTGTGTCATGTTCGTATCGTATTATCATGTCGTGTCGTAATTTGCCGCCCCTAGTTACAAATGAATCGAGCTATTCATGAATAACTCGGACTCGTTAAACAAATGAATCGAACTATTCATGAATATTACGTTAACAACAGTTTTTGTTTATTGACACAAGTTAGAAACTCTATCTGAGAGAGAGAATTCTAAAGAGCCGGTGGGTGAGGGTGAGATTTATAGAGAGAATGTTCCAGAGAGAGAGGGGCTTTGTTTGACTTCAACGCTAAAATCCTATCAATTTCTCAATCGATCCTATCATATTTTTATTCTGTCTCATGTATAATCAACGGTGACAAAGTTATCATTACCGTGACCGATAAATGATATAGATTTGACGATTAAGACAGGTTTTCAATGAAAATGACATCATTTCTTAAACTCGACAACCAAAATAAGGCCACAAGATGGTAACTGCAACGTGTGTATATATATATATATATATATATATATTAATAGCCTTTAACATACACGCATATATATATTCAGTTTGACCTTTAAACCAAATAAACAAGGGTTGGTGGCGGCGACCATGCATAAGATTTTCCTACCCTACTTTGACAATAGATGTGCAATACGGGTATATCAAGAACCAATATCTTTTCATATTTGGACGCACATAATTGGTAATTTTAATTTAAAATTAAAAATTAATTAATTACAATTTTGATTTAAAATTGTCAAATCAGTACTCCCGATATGGCATTTCCTATATTAGTACTAAAACAAATAATTATGTCAATTTTGTACCGTACAACTTTTCTTTTTGTGTCAATTAGTGATTGGGGGATCAATAATTTCAAAACTATGTAATAGTTTCTTCAATCATCAACAAATTAAAATAGAAAATGTTAACTGGGTAAGGAAACCAATAACGGTCTCATCCAATATTTACTCCCCGAAATGATGTAACTATTTTGCTCGAGGGCATAATTTTTTTTGTTTTCTTTTCGGAAGTTAATTTGACTTATGTGTATAATTAATAGCTACATATGGACTTAGATATAGCTTAGTGCATCGGTCTAAGGCCCATATTAAAGGATATACAATGGAGCCCAGAAAGCATTTGGACTCCAAATCCATACTTATCAAGCCCAGCCCTAACGGGCAATCTAATTGGTCTTTTTACTTTTTTCTAACAAAAAAAAGTATTACCTGCTTTATCAAAATCAAGAATTTGACATCTTGATACGAATATTATATATATATATATATAGACGTATTAAAAGTATGGTGATGAATGTAACCAAAAAAAAAAAAGAAGTTGAAATTGAAGAAATTAAATAAAAAAATCTTTTAGCTAAATCCACAATGAATTGAATAAACCCTTCCCTTTGACTTGGTATCGGCCACTAAACCTTTCACCTTCTGAAACTCATGAGATACTAGAAGGACTTGAACTATTCAACAGCTCCAAATATGAATAAAAAAACTCAAATCTCTATATTATAGTCCACATATCGTTCTCATTTTTTCTTTTGTTGTTTAATGTTTATGAGGTAAGTATTGTTCTCATTTTTTCTTGTCTTCTGTTATTTAGTGTTCATGAGGTAAGGATTGTCCACATCCACTGGATTCTGTTGTAATTTCATTTGCACTGACCGTAAAATTCCATGTGGACAATACTTACCATCAGTGAAAATGAAATTACTACAGAATCCAGTGGATGAAGTGTTCATTGGAGCAGAGAATTTGTTAGATCACGGTCTGAGAAATGAAGCAGAGGATGAAGTGGTCATTCGAGCAGAGAATTTGGGTGAAAGTTAGTTAGAATCATGCTCTGAGAAATGAAAAGATGCCTGCAGCCTAGAAATCCAGAGTTGTTAGTTTTGCAAGCTTTTGGCTATGGGGACAAATGGATGGGATGGTTAAAGGAGTGGTTTTCAGAGAGCATAAATCGTTCTCCAGCTGATTGCTTTCGACCTCAAAAAGGTATGAGGCAAGGTTTCCCCCTTTCTCCACTCTTGTTTGCCTTTAATAACTAAAATCTTTTCTTCAATGCACATGATGCAATGAGATGGGATCAAAATCCTCCTCTGCGATACAAATATTTTGTTAACGTCCATCACTAATCAAAGGAGACGGGACACTTTGAGACGCTGTTTTACGGGGGATGATTTGATTTGAGTCCCTGCGAGACGTTGATAGAGGTAAATTACACTGTTATCAATCACTTGTCAAAGGCGGCCTGTAATTTTCTCATTGCTTCTTATGTTGATGATCTACTTGTCATAGGCAAAGCAAACATTATTAGATCAGCGAAGTGTATTTTGAAATTTTAAAGAAGTTTCATAAACCATGAAGAATCAGATTTTCTTTTCAAAATCTGTCAGAAGATCTAATGGAATTTTGGCATTCCTAATTCCTATGCTGGATAGGGGCTGAGGCACAGAGATTGGAGCGAGTTAATTGATAGAATATCTGCTAAAATAATGGTTGGGGGCTTCGTCTATCTATGAATGGTAGGGTGGAACGGACAAAAACTGTTCTAACCTCTTTCTTATGATCAACTCGACGATGCAGAACCCCCCACACTAAGCAGTGGGCGAATATGAGGAGTTTCACAATGCTGCCCATACAGCACCGACGAGAGGAGGCAGTTAGTCCTCCCTGCGCTACTCCTGTGATTTTGGGTGCAACAGGTTGGATGTTGGCCCCCATAAGCCAACACTCTTTCTTAGATGCTACTAAACTTCCTTCCAGAACTATTGCAATGGTGGAAAGGCTATTCAAAGGTTTTGTGTAACGTAATGAAAATGCCAAAAAAATTCACCTTGTGAAAATGAAATCGGGTTGCTAGACCTAAAGCTGAAAGGTTAGAAGAGCTATTCCTAGTTTCTGGAAACATGTCACAGATATCAAAGAAATCATGGCAGGTAATTGATAATGGCTCCTCTATCAAATTGTTTATTGATCCTCGATGGAATGGAATTTCTTTGATTCAGACATTTGGTTACAAGAGTGACCAGCATGATTGAAATTTTATCTTCCCAAAAAAGCAAATATTAGTTCTATTCCGAATAATGGGACTTGGTCTAGACTTATGTGAAGATGCAGAATAAATTTGGATCCAAATAAGGTATGCTACATTTAAATCTGTTTGGAATCAGTGTAGAGCCAAAGGTTAAAAGAAAAAGTGGCCTAATTTGGTGTGGAACAAAGGCAAACCTAATTTCTCTTCTTGTCTTGCAAACCACAAGAAACTTCCTTCCTGTGCTAACATTCAAGACTGGAGGCATGATTGTGACCCCTTTTCTGTCATAATTGCAAGGAAACTTCCTTCCTGTGCTAACTTTCAAACTGGAGGCACGATTGTGATCCCTATCTGTCAAAATTGCAAGGAAACTTCCTTCCTGTGCTAACGTCCAAACTAGGGCATGATTGAGTTACCCCAGTGTTATTAAAGACCCAAGGCGCTAGAGGTCCTTTGGAGCCTAGGTGCGAGGCACGTGCCTAAGTGAAGAGAGACGCACAATTGAAAATTTAAACTACCATAAAAACATTCATATCTCGTAAGTCATTTCAATACTCTAAAAATTAATATAAAATATGAAAAAGAAAATCCATCAACTAAACAAGCATCCAACAATCATAAAATAGAGCACAAATTTGTTTTCTTGAAAGGCAAAGCAAGATTTGTTTTTTTGAATGGCAAAACAGAAAAAAATGAACCAAACGAAGAGAGATGTAAACAAAGACAGGAAGAGAAGAGAGACAAGTAGAGGAGAAGAAAGAGGATAAGAAGAAAAAACTGACGTGGCTTCGTCGTTCGTCTCACGGTCTTACTCTTTCCCTATTCGGTTGACACTTTGACTCTTGGACTTTTTTATTTGTTTATTAAGTTGCCAAAAGTATCCTTTTTGGTTTAAGAAATAGAATAATAATACTTAAAAAAAAAAAAAAATCAGTGAGGCGCGCCTCACAAATAGGACGAGGCGCACCCGAGGGGCGCGCCTAGTAAACATCAGTAAGCCTGAGATGACAACAAGCGCTAGACCTGCGCCTTGAGCCTAGGCGCACCTTTAACAACACTGGTTACCCCCATGTGTCATGATGTCGGTTTGGAAGTGGTTGGCTGATTTAATCCATCCCCATCAGAATTGGACTGTTATGTCTAATTTTGAGCAAATGGTTCAATTGTTCGCTGAGGAGACTATAACAAACTCAAATAAAAGCAAAAGTAATGAAAATAATGTTCACGAAAACTATTTGACACATTTTGGTGGAATGGGAATCAAGTTCTACATGATGGGATGCCAAAAGAATGTTTCCCACACAGCCAGGAGAGTATTATTTGGGACATTTCTAATATTCTGGAGCTTCAGCTGCAAGACTTGTTGGAAGAATAATAGTTTTAAGTTATTTTTGTTGTTCCTGTGCCGGTAGTTTTCAAGGGACTTGTTGGAAGAATAATAGTTTCTGATGGTTATTGTTGTTTAGAGTTTTTTTTTTTTTTAGTTGTTCTTTCAAAATTGTTTTATACTTGGGGTTGGCTGGTTTTGGTTTAGTACAAGACACTAGGGGAGAATTCCAATATACCTTATTATAGGTACTGTCAATGAGATGAAAGGCTCATATAAACTGTTAAGCTTTCATAGATAGAGGAGAAATAATACAATATACTTGCAGATAAGATTTCATGTACATGGTCCTAGGTAACTACTGTATCACATAAGATCTCAATCCAGTAGTCAGACACACAATGCAGACTCCCTGAATTCCTATTATTCTAAATTAAAGATGAAAACCTATCCCATGCATTGTCGAGCTAAAACCAATAGTACATTTCTATTATTACATTTTGCATGACAAAGATATTCTCACTACTGCCAATAATGCATGAATAAGATGGATCTCATAATCCAAAGAATGAGTACACTTTAGCATATAACACTTGTAATAACCTTTATATCATAAAAATAACAAAAATCATAGTTAAGTGTGGATAACAAAAGAGGGTAATTGAACATCAACAAGGACAGGAAATAATTACGTCATGTTTTCCCACAAAGTCACTGGCATCATTCATTCACCTTAGCCAACAGAATTTCGTCTTCACTACAAAACATAGCTATATGAATGTTAGACAAAAGTACAAGTATCTGCAAATAAGATGTGATGACAGAATACTCAAAAATCATATTTCCACATTGCAACATTATTACATGTATTTACATGTTAAAAAAAAAAAAACACACACACACACACACATTTGCTAACAATTAGCTTGCAAGGATTTCAAATAACAAGGTGGAAGGAGATAATTTGAATCCATGGCTGCAAAAATAATAACTGCACATTGATTGGAATGACATATCTCTCATACCTCTAATCTGATATCCCCTTGAATATCAGGATCCAATTTCAATTAAAAAAAAAATTCTGTACTTAAAATCATTGCACAGCCAGTACAACAGATTCATTAGAACTACAACATACTACTCATACACAACCGTGGATAAAAAATAAAATCTGTTTGCAAATCATAAGATGAATCTGAAAACACAACAACGCATAAAAGGTTAACAAATACAGACACAGAGCAATTATGTCATCCAATGATCAAACCAAAAACCCTCTGCACATTCCACCCTCTTTCGCAATCATTAACATGTTTCTAAATCACCTAACCAAAATTCTGAAAAATCAACTGTACATTGGACACTACCATCCCAACGCTATACATTAGTTACAATAACGCAGGCATATTTGTGTATATAATTTATAACTTAAATTGGGAGATTGAAACATAAATCATTCCAGTGCAGAGTACGAAAAATTTTAATTGAACAAGATCACCAATTCTCTACTTCGTGTTGGGGAATTTCAAAAATAATATTATAATACAATACTACCTGTATAGCATTGAAATTGAAATTAAAGAAGGTTCAATAGCAATTTAAGCATCGCAATGCTCACAATTCCTACTACAACAAAATGTCAAAACCACGTTTCATAGCATAAATAAGTAAATTAACATATGCAACCTCAAACCCACCTAAATTCACTTGAACTCGAAAGTCGGTGGCATCGGTGTATCAAAGCTCTCCAGAACCTCCGTCTTGACTCCGCTGCTCGCACTTGACTCTTCCTTCTTGCCACCAAAAAACCCTCCGAACCACGACGACGATGAAGACGAAGTTGACGGTTCAGGCTGTGGGGCCTGATTCGGCAACTGAAACCCGGGTCCACCGGCCGCGTTCGGCATCTGTTCCTCAATCATGATCGGCATTTGTTGCTGCGCAGCAACGAACTTGTTGATCATGATTCCGGCACCTTCGATGAGGGCGAGGAGGACACCGCCAAAGGCGGCGGAGCGGGAGGCGACGCGGAAGCCCTGGCGCATCTGGAGAAAGCCGCCAGTGGCGGCGCCGGAGATGATGGAGTTCCAGGGGTCCTCCTTCTGGCGGATGTAGACCATGGTGCAGTCGAAGGTGGAGAAGAGTCCACCCCACACGGCGAAGCTTCCGCCGACCCGCGGCGCGTTCATACGCACGGCTTGCGAACCGCCTATCCACCCCTCGCCTTTAGGGGAGTGATAGAGACCTTTGATGAAATGGAAGGCCGATCCGCCGACCGCACCCATGCCAAACGCGCCGCCCATGTCGTCTAGGATGCGGTCGGGGCACGGTTCCCGAGATGTCTCCGGAGTGCCCATGATCGGTTTCAGAGAGAGACAGAGAATAGGAGAGGAGAGGAGAAGGGGAAGGGTTTTGGGGGTTTTTGATACTGAGTCGAAAGGTTTTAGGTTTGTTTCACCTTGGACAAGGGGTCGAGTGGTGAATTTACAAAAAAATTCTAAAGAAATCCATATTTGCCTATTATATCAATGGCAAAACAAATTCTTTACAAACTTTCCTTTTAAATTTTCCTTATTATTAGAGAGTAATGAAAATTTTTGCTTCTCAAAAAAGGAAAATTAAAAAAAAAAAAAAACCAAAGGCCATATAGCCCCAATAGTATAACATGTGTGAGTGGAGATACGAATTTGTTTCTTGTCAATATAAAAAATAACAAATAAACAATCCAAAAAAGAAAGAAAAGTGACCACTAAACATTAATAAGTTAACATGGAATTTAATAGAGGGAGGTGCAAAAAAAAAAAAAAAAACAGGCTTTAATTTAAATCACAATGCAACTCTGGTTCATCATGGTTTAAAGCACATCATTCAACAGGGAAAGAAATGGGGCATTTGGCTAAGGTTATAAAGTCAATTGTTGGCATGAGAATTGGATTTATGTGCTGATTTAATTGATGAGTGATTTATTTAACCAGCAAAACCGCACCAGTTCGAATGGCCCTTTTTTAGTTAAATAGTGCATTCTTTCTAGCTCAAAAAATCCCTTCAAAATAAGGTTTCCTTTACCTCAAATCCCATTTGCAGTATTCATCAAGAGTTCAAAACCTTTTTATTCAAACAAAAAAAATGAAAAAAATTAGAGGTAAAATAAATATATTTTATTTTATTTTATTTGGCAATGCAGTTATGAGAAATCCCTGTATTTGTCAAAAAATTTAAGTGGAAGATTGTGGACCATGAGTCCTGCAAACTCTCAAAACCATCTAGTGATGCAGATCCCACCACCCATCATCTTTGATCTTTCTCTTTACTGGTTGCTCTGTTCTCTTCATAAACTGTGTTTTTCATAATCTGATTCTCTCTCTCATCATCTTTTAGCCTAATCTCTTTCCAACTCTTACTTGCTCCACATATTTCTTTGAACCAGTTAACTTATTATGAAGTCTTTTACTTTTCATTTTTTCCCCTATTCATTCTCTGTTTACTATAACGTTTAGATCTTGTTCTTTGCCCATTTTTAGATTTTTGATATTTCTTTTCTCTTACCTCGTGTTGGGCTGAATTATAAAAAGCTTAGGTTCAACAAGTTCCCACAATTAATATTCTTAGAGTCGATGGACCAATTTAAGAGAAATATTATATAGTAGAAGAATCCAAATTCTAAAATAATTCCACAATAATTTATTAATGTATCATAAAAAAAATATATATTAATATTAATTTTAACTGAATTAGCTACACATCTTAAAATCATAGGCCTTGTGCCACTCACTCCCAAGTCTCCTATCCATACAATAAATGCTCATCCAACTTCAACTCTGTTTCTAGGCATGTAATGAATGCTCATCCGACCCCTTTATTGGATTAATTGGCTGATGTCATCGAGGTGAGAGTAGCACTAGCTTAAAAGAGTTTAATTAATTTTAAATGGGTCTACATATAATTTTTTTAATTCTTTGTAATTTATGTGAGTGTTAATACATGACCCGAAAAACATAAAATGTATTAGATCAAATGCATTGTGCTTTACTGATTTCTTCTTTATCTTTCAAAATAAATAAATAAATTAATTAATTAAAATGTAGTGATAACTAAATATTATATTACGTACCAAGTAGTAATTAAATATCGATGCATGATTAAAATAAGAGCAATTCTCTTGATCAAGTGGGTTTAGGGCTACTTGATTATAATCAGAGTAGCCATTTAGAAAATAATAGTAACTTTGCCCCGTCAATCTTTTTAAGATTTGATCAATGAAGGGCAAAGGAAATTTCCATCCTCTCTGCGAGATAAAGCACTTGGTATTTGTCCAACTTGAACCTCTAGTTTGGTTATGGCTTGAAATGAGAATGAAGAAGTCGGGTATGCCATTTAAGTTCCTCAAGTGTAGTTAAGTCACCAGATCTTTTTAATATATAAATATTAAATTTTTTTTAAAAAATGAGAATTTTGAATTAAATTTATTAAATGAGTTTCCTTTGAAATCACAAAATATCCCGCAATTAAAAAGTCTAACTGAAGAGGGAATCACTATGAATACAATCTAACACAATGAGATGTCTATATCGATTTCATTTGAGTCGTGTGCCCATAGTTTACTCAGTGTGATAACCTGTTGGTGCTACCTGCATGCGCTCACGCACACCTGCCCACAGGATCACAAAACAAAGAAATTAAATAAAACAGACCACCAAACTCAAGAGGTCACTCTTCATCCTAACCCTACCACGACCTGTCATCAATACTTTGTGTGATAAATCAGTTTGTTTCTATTTTCCAAATAATAATAGAAAGAAGAAGAAAAATAAATAAATAAAAATCACACACGCTTTGGATGGTGATCGAGCGTTGAAAGATGTGCGATGTAACCGATCAAAGTATTTTATGTCGTTTTGTAATGACGTATGTGTAATGGTGAAGTCTGATATCCTATTGGATGAATACATTCCACCTTATGTGTTTAGTGCAGTGATGGTTCAAGTATTGGCAATGAATCACGAGGTAACATACCGAACACATAAAACATCATTAAATTTTAAGAAGTTATAATTAAAAAAAAATAATGAAGTAACGAATACAAACTCGACACATAACCCCTCTAAATTAATGATTGTAATTATATTGTGTGACGCAACAAAAGATTATTTATTTTTCGAAAAGGACGTATCAGAAGGTCGTCCAATTAAAAAGAGAGCCAATGTGAAGATTCGGGATGAAAAGTGGCATCTTCGCCCAGAGATCCCTCCACTCCACACGTGCCACCTCACACGGGCCCAATTAACAATCAGTCTTCCTTTGCCTTTTTGCGCCCGTCAAACTGTCTCTCTCTCTCATATCATTCTCTGTCTAGAATTTCTCTCTCTAAAAATATATTATGTGGTGTATCCAGTAGGCGCTAGCTGTAATTCGAAAATATAAAATCAGGCGGTCTCTCAAATTTGGCCCTTTTTTTCACTTGGTTTCTCTTCTCTCTTCCGTTTCTCTCTCTCCATTCTCTCCTTCCATTCACGGCGATCAGAGGAAAAGCAAGAGAGAGAGAGCGCTCTGATATCACCAGAAATCTAGGACATTTGGAGAGAGAAAGAGAAAGACTCCTACACTTAATATACAAACAATGTCGCCTTTCGATACTATTGACGCGTTTCTCTTCTCCGCTAGCAGAGCCTTTTGTAGTCCCTTCGCCATTTTTATTCAGATCCAGGTTCGGTTATACCATGTCTCTTTTTTGATTCGTGGGATGAGTGAACAGCAGGGATTTTATTAATTGTTGTTTCATTGCGTATGGTTTGGATCTGAAAATTAGGCATGTGTTTTGGTTACCGAGAAAAAAGACTAAAGAAGCAAATATCAAATCTCTATGTTTATTGTTTTTTGGGATTTTAGGAAAATAGAACCTACCAAAGGACAATTATGATGCACAATGTTGATTTCTTTTATTTCTCTACATTTATTTCACCAACCAAAAGGAATGTTAATATCTATGTTGTCTTTATGTTTGAATCACGTTTCTCAAAAAAAGATCAACTTTTCCCCCCTTAAACGCGATTGATTATTATTGTTGATGAAGTGATTTAAACATGGGAGTTGGATATGTGGAACTCAACCCATAAGACGCGCATTTTGTGATTGCAAAATAGCACTCTTTCCGGAGAAGAGATGAAAAAAGTGAGTTTCATTGTATATGATAGGACACTGTGACATTACATAGGTCAGATGCTTGAAAGTTGGGCTCTACTACTGATAGTTGTTGCTGATAGGACTTTGTGGCATAACAGAGGTCAGATGCTTGAAATTTGGCCACAACTACTCATAGTTGTTGCTGAAATTTAAACATATGAGATGATAGGGTGTTCCATTCATGTGCTGCAAGCCTGCGAGATAGCCTGAGATTAAATCCTTGAGTTTTGCAAAGAAGACACATTTTTTGTGTGTGTGTGTGTGTAATTGGTTTTACATGTTTCTTTCTCTATTGCTAATAAAGTTGTTCGAGCTGTAGTGATGTCAAAAAATGTGCACACACTGGTGACCTGCTGTGGTCAATTTGGGTAAGATTATTAGTAGTTGAGATGAAATGGAGAAAGGCAAAGGAGATATTCCTTTTGTGCTTGAAGTGGGTTTTATGTCTGAGAATTGAGATGAGTACATAAACAAGAGTCGAGTTGTTATTTGTTTTTCTTTTTGGTCAAGGAATGAGTGGTGGTTTTTATTGATCGAGAGCCTGCCTATGTGTCATATGTGTGGTTCAAAACAATGTGATGAAATAGAAGTATTATCATTTCCCTTCTGTTTTTTATATTGTTTATTATTATGACATTTGGAAAGTTAAATGTCTTGTACAGCTATTTGCAATTCGTTTCTGAATATTTCTTCCCCTTTAGTCTTATACTGGAAGTGTGATTTCCTTGGAATCTGCATTGCAAATGGTTTTTTTTTTTTATTTTTTTATGGGGATTTTCAATGAAGGTAGAATATTTTCATTTTATGAGAAAAAGTTAAATGTATGGAAGTAGTGGTAGTGATGGGCATTGAGTAGTTGCCTGCTGTTCATGTCAAAATAAATAGTTGGACCTTAATATGATGGAGAGCAAAGGTGATAGTAGTTGGTATCAGTGCTGCACAGGATCAAATGTTTTTGATTCATACATAAATTATTGTTAATAAATATTCAACATAATCGATGTAAAGGAGGCTTTGGATGCCAAGTGGAAACTCTTTAATTTCTTTAGGATCTCTCCTTGATTCTGTTATAAAATTTAATCTCGTAGTGTACAGTTATGCATAGTATCAGATGACGGATTAAAATCCTCTCCAATCACGTTTTCTCGCAGTTCCCTGCTGTGGGTGAATTTCATCATTATCAATGGTGAATTTTGCTACTATAATGGTGAAATTTCACCTATTTGAATTTCGCTACTATTTGCTTATACGTGAAATTATTATAGTAGTGAAATTCACCCACTGCAGGGAGCTGTGGGAGAACGTGACTGGAGAGAATTTTGATCCACCACCATCAGAGAGTGATGGATCAAAGCATCATATGACCTGTTGGCTGCCAAAGGTGTAATAATGTTTTGCTGCAATTCTTGTTTTCACATATACCCTTTAATGGGGCAATGATTAGCTGATTAACTAGCTTAGATTTGTTCCGAAATTGATATAATTTTTTAAATGGGCTTAGTCCTGAGGGTTGCATGTATCTTTTAATTAGTAACAATTGTTCTTAGTGATTAAAAAATGAAAAAAAGTAATAGTGCTAGTCCATTCTTGCACTTTGGACCTCGGATGTCACAACCAATTTGAGTTCTTACAAATGTACTTATAAGAGAGAAATGGGGTTTTCTAATAAGTTTGTCACTTGCTTTCCCTCGACCCAATAAAGACGAGTGGTCCCAGCTAATGAATCCAATTCTCAAGTCTCTTACATTGATTTTTATTAGGAATTTCCTTTTATATAGCAATGGACGTCACAAGGAGACTTACAGAGGTGGTTGGTATGACATGGATATAAACTCCCTGACATGGAGTCCTCAATGCTAAAGCACTGTGACACGGGGGTGGATTGGGGGTGCGCTGGTGCCTATAAAAGTGTTCCGATCTTCACATGTTGGTACATTTAACATAGTGAAAGGTAAAATAATGCTGAAAATAGGAATATCCTTTTTCAGCGTTACATGGGCATGACCATTTTATTGCCAACACATTCATCATGAACTCTAAGGTTTATGAGTATCGGCATCAGAGCTCTTAGATCCTGCCTAGAAGGCTTGCACAGCACATTGGGTGCCATGATGTGGACATTTTGCTGTATTTTCTCAGTTATGTATGCCAATTGTTTGAAGTCTGTTCACATGATAGTGTTTTTTTTTTTGTTTTTTTTGTTTTTGGACTAAACAGAGTTTCTGGTTCTTCTTGTTTTTTTATGACTAAACAGATGATCTGACTCTTCTTGCTTGGTGATACTAATTTATGTCTTGCTTTTTTAATATTGTTTGGCAGTACTATGACATGATTCTGATTTGATCATTCACTAATCTGACTACTTTATTTGTTGTGCTGCAGGGATGTCTCATATGCTTGACTCTTGCAATTGGGTGGGCTTTTGCTGCTTATGTTAGGTAACTTGCTTGATGATTAGAGTTTAGTCATTACATGAAATTTAATTCCTTGGATCATTTTCATCATTATTTTAACTTTCAGGAAAAACTCATATCAAGTTTTTGATTTTAGTAACATTTTGTTTTTCTCTCACAGGAGTAGAGAGTTTAGGCGGATCAAGGATGGTGTGAAAGGTGGCAATAGCTTTGCATTTCTTTGTCATGATATCAATGAGCTTGAGCATTCTAATCAGATCAACCTGCCAAGAGTGACAGTTGTAATGCCTTTAAAAGGGTTCGGAGAACACAATCTACACAATTGGAGAACTCAGGTGACTTTTAAACGCATACTAGTTAGAAGTTTCTATGTAGTGTTGAACAAAAATGAATGGTTACCTCTGATATTTGTTTTCCCTTGGTTTAATATTACCATTAGTTTTTGTAAGTATTGAATATATGTACGTATGGCCAGTGGGGATACTCCTTTTTGAGGAAGTACACTATTCTGTTTTGTTTTTGTTTTTTTTGTTTTTGTTTTTGTTTTTGTTTTTTTTTTTTTTTTTTGCCTGGACAGAAAGATATGACATTGATATTTTAACCAATGTGTAAACAATACAATGACATTTGGACGAGTAACATCTCAAGGTTACAAGCCTCGTTGGGCCTGTTTATTTATGAGTCTGGACATTCTTTTGATTATATATTTTTTTTGCATGTGAAACTTCTACTTGTTTTCTCTATTGATTGCGGGACTTTATGTTGTCGAATACTATTCATTATGGTTCTGATTAATGAATAATTGGCTGCAGATCACATCTCTGTATGGTGGTCCTTTAGAATTTCTTTTTGTGATGGAAAGTACAGAAGATCCTGCTTACCATGCAGTAACTAGATTACTATCAGATTTTAAGGTATATCTTGTCCCATTATTGCATTTTGTATTATGATGAAGATTTATTCGATATTGAATTAATGATGACTTTGTTTGTGATAAATATTCCTGTTATGTCATGATTGTTAACTCAACAAGCCTTTTTTTCAACTAATTTGGATCAGCTACTTGATTTATGTTTCGCTTTATCACTCTGTCTAAGGCCAAAGCCTCAGTTAAACACATGCTATCATAGCTTTCAGCTTTCCTAACTATTGCAGCCCATGTTAGTTTTGATTGTTCCCTTCCCCTAGCATTACCCTCAACAAGGATCATGTAACTTTTCCTAACTGGTGCAGTGATTCTTAGCTGCATATGTGATTGCTTGCTATATGTATATTTTTCTTTTATGATTTTAGGATATTATGAAGAATAATAAATGTTGGAACCTTGTTTTCGTTTTTTTACCCTACTTTTTTTTGTTCATTTGTTTTTTTTGGACATTTTTCATGCAACTTAATGGAGACAAAGTTGGAGGGGCAGGACAAGAATTTTTAATCCTTTTTTTGGTAGTACAAATTTCAAAAGTTAATCATGAAAGTTTTGATTGGGTTACTCCATCTTTTTCTTCTTTTTCCTTCTCTATAACTGTAATTGTCATTTCAGTTGTTCATGTTCTACGCTTGATATAGATTTTTATTGAGAAGAAAAAATGAGGCATCTTAGAATACCCAGCGGGGTAATTTTTTGGCCCATCTTTCCAACCAGCACATTTTAGCCTGTTATGAGGATTGCAGATACACTAGCGGTTTTGATGTATGGCTTGTTTTCTTATTATTACACCCATTTTCTTTTATGATATATATGTATCACGTACTCATTGCTCAAGTAATTACAACATGTTAATTTTCAATTATGTTTGTTGATACATCCCAGTTGATTTGTGTGATTGCTTCAACTTTTTTTCAACTTATCTCCCTTTCCTGACTTGTTAAGATGATATGTGCAGGACGATGTTGATGCAAAGATTGTAGTAGCTGGTTTGTCAACAACTTGTAGTCAAAAAATTCACAATCAGTTGGTAAATAACTAGTTCACAACTTTATGAACTTTGCCTTTTGTTAGAATGTTATATATATATATATATATGTTGGGCCATTATGTAATTACATTATATTAGTAGGCCCTTGTGTTATTAAGGAGGCTTGTATCCCTTATATAAGCCTATATAGGCTTATTTGGTAGTGTGTCGGTGAAATATATATACATTTGTTCTCTCTGTTCTCTCTATCTCTCATGATAAACAACACCTTTGAAAAGCATTCTAATTTTTTTCCACAGTGTGCATGATATATTTCTTTATCTTTCCCCATTTTGATAAAATGTGGTGTTCTATAATACCGCGTTCCCGAAGTCTGGATAATTTAAGCATCTATATTAAAATTCCAAAAATTACTTCTTGTCATAGAGGTCGGATAGGACTGACTACTATATAATTTTATAGTGAGAATTTGTATTGACAGCAAAGAGCTCCTGTACTTGTACATAGAGTGAGGCTGATCTGTATTCATATTATGCATCAATCATTTAACCATATTTTCTTATTGAATATTTTTTTCCTTAAAAGAATCCCCTTGTTATTGGTTATCACGCATATTGTGGTGCACTTTTGCAGGTTGGGGTGGAGAGAATGCATAAAGACAGCAAGTATGTATTGTTCCTAGATGATGATGTGAGGCTGCACCCTGGAACAATTGGATCTCTCACTGCTGAAATGGAAAAAAACCCTGCGGTATGATTTTTAGATCTTTTTCAATACACAAAAAATATATTCTTTTATATATATCCTTAGGTCTATGGTTATGATTGGGATTAGCTCTTTTCACTTTTTCTTCTGATTGCTTTAATGTTGTTGGCAATGTTGTGCAGATCTTTATTCAAACTGGATACCCTCTTGATTTACCCTCTGGAAGTTTAGGAAGTTACTGTATATATGAATATCATATGGTAATAAAACTTACTCAAATCTTCCATTTCTTTCATGCTTCATTGTTTGTACAAGTCTACGCATAGATACCACATTGTGTTGTTTCTTTCAAACGTGCTAGTGTGCTAACTATTTTTATCCATAAATTCTGTAGAATAACTTTCAGTCTAGTTTTATTAGATAGAGTTCTAGAAAGAAAACAAGACATGAATACTACCAATCCTCTCTACATACCATATTGTGTTGTTTCTTTCAAACCTGCTAGTGTGGTACTATTTTTATCCATAAATTCTGTAGAATAACTTTCAGTCTTTTTTTAATTAGATAGAGTCGTAGAAAGAATAGAAACATGGATACCATCAATCCTTTCTACATGCATGTGAATCTTATAAATTAAATTAATAGAGATACGCCAACCCTCTCTTGAAGTTGACCTAATGAAAAAACTACCAGGTTCACAATCCTGAGAGTTATGATGAAGCACTAACATGGTGAGAGTTCTCAACTCTCTTTAAGTCTCAGGTTTCTGATATTGAACTTCAAAAACTTCAGATTTTGCTTTGCAATGAGATGGAGTTTATACATGATCAGTTTCTTTGGCATGATTGGGGATCACTATTACAAGAGATATGAAGAAATTTGGATAAGCTGATTAGGTTTTCTCGGGATGAATCATTACTTTTGTTAAGGTTGTTGGAATGATATTGTTTAATATCTATTATGTCTTGACTTCTTGTAGTTTATTTCACGTGTTATTCAATGTCACTCATTTATAATATCATTCAATACATTAATAACGCTTGTATTATTTATTGAAGCCTTGTTCGATGGGGTTTGCTACTGGTGGAAAGACTTTCTTCTTGTGGGGAGGATGCATGATGGCAAGTAGCTGTTACCACCTTTTTAACTGCTTCAAGCTTAAAAAATGTTAATTGTTCTTATTGTTTTAGAGTTTCTATTTTCAGATGCATGCTGATGACTTTAGAAATGACCGTCATAGGGTGGTTTCAGAACTAAAAGATGGGGGATACTCTGATGATATGACTCTTGCCTCTATAGCTGGTAAATTACAGTGCTTTACCTCTACAAGCTGATTTGAGTAGACTTAAAGCTTGAAGCGACATCTTATTTTATATTTATTATTTACACTTCATAATATCACAGGCTTACCAATCTCAAACTAAATGAATGAACCAATTTACTGACTTAACTTATGAAATCTTATTTATTTTTATCAATTTGATTTATGTTGGTGTTGATTTTTGTCACGCCCCGATAATTCTAATAAAATCCTCCATTTATTCATATACAAATACATCAAAATACACCCAGGATCACAAAAAATGCCCTCTTTTATACAAAGTCAGATTCCTCAAAAATACAAAAAAAAATCTCCAAATAAAAAAAATAAATCCTCCACGCCGACTCTTCATCCTAAGCCCGTTTCTAGCCATTCCCGTTCATCTTCGGTACCTGAAACTGGAGAGTGGTGAGACAAAAGTCCCAGTAGGAAAAACCATAACAAGAATCTCATGGAGGGTTAATAAAACAATTTCACAAAACATACATAATCATGTGAGTATATAGACAAAATAAATATACATTTAATCAAAACATTTCATAAAATATTTAATCAAAACTTCCCCATGCCATTCAAGGTATAGAGAACCCTACTCTGAAAAAGAATTCTTGCACTGGATCATTGTGATACCCCCTGATTTCGGAACACGGGTTGATCAAGTCCGCGCACAAAACCAGAGGATATCAAAACAATTAAAGTATTTAACAAGCACAGAATACAAAGATGAATAATAAAGAATAAATAAACCGCTGAAGAAAACTAATAAATAAATATTACTTAATGATTCTCCAACAATTACAATTCGGAAATCCCATAACTCAAGGACCCCTTAAAACATTATCCAATAATCCAATACTATTTAAAAGTACACAAGATGAATAGACGAATGACAGTCTCCCAGCTGCGGATCCTCAACCTCGAGACTGGAACCTCTAATAACCTGAAAAATAAATCGTGGGTTAAACCCTACGAGCAAGTTCACTCTACCAGGCCTCTGAAAACCAATAAGCAGATCATCTCTGATCAAAACCAAACCTAATAAAGTTTTAACTTTAATAAAGCACGATATACATGTCTATATATAATTATATATACTATACTAATCACATCCATTAATAGGTTTATTAAATTTCCATACCTATTAAATAATTATTAAAATAATATTCATACCTAGACCAATCTACCATTTCATTTTATAAAAACTCCTTTGACCTTAATCACATCCTAGTCAGTTGTTTAATCATTTAAACACCAAATTATAATAAAAGAAATACTCTATTTAATCCCAACCCGATAATGATTTTAATTGTTTAAATCACATATCCAAAATCCAAGTTTTGACAAATCATCCACGTCTTCCCCAATATTATTTTATTAATGTAAAATAATACACTAAACTATTCTCATTTAAGAATATCTAACCCTAATCCAATCCATACATACAACAACCATAGATGATATTTTAATCATCTAACACATAACAACGTAATTATGCTTTGGCAAATCAACCATGCCATTGTAAATATTTTTATTTATATATTGGCAATTCAACCATGCCTCCATAAGTATATTTATTTATACATTGGCAATTCAACCATGCCTCCGTGTAGGTATATTTATACATTGGCAATTCAACCATGCCTCCACAGGTATATTTATTCATACATTTAATTAACAATTCATCCATACTTTCCATATATGTATTCTATTCATACAAATATTTAGGTAATAAATTTAATCATTTGACAATTCATCCATGCCCACACTTTAACCATGAATTAACTTTAAAATTAACAATACGCTAAATCATACATAGCCATCACATGCATATTATACGCATATCATTAATTTAACAACCAGCCTATTAAGATATGCCAAATAAGAATGATAATATTAATCATCTTAAATGATTTATATATATATATACCTACACATATGTTATTTAATGTATATGTGTGTTTAACACCTTCTTTAATAATCCTTGATTATTTAAAATCAATATACATACATACATACATATCTATATATATATATATATATATATATATATATATATTCATCCTTCCATACAACTCATAGACAAATTAAACTATATATACACATATATAAATAATTATATATATATATATATATATATATATATATACACACACTTCCTTCCATAACAAATTATTAATTTATTATATTTACACAAATTAGTGCAACTAAATATGTCAGAAATAGTTTCCTTTAAATACTCCATATTGGTTTAAATAGTTTTCCGACACTTTCTCACTAAAACATAAATATCTCCTAGTAGGATGGGAATCTGATAATGAAATTGGTACCATTGGAAAGAAGACGAAAAATCCTTGAATTTGAGCTCAAGAATGACCCAATTTCGATTTAAAATGACTAAGTTATGACCGTTTTAATTTCTAGTGTCGAATTAGGCCAACATAGTTACCCACGCGCGCCCACGTGCTTACTATGCACTTGCACGCGCTGGATTCAAGCCTCCTTGTGTGCTGGTATTGGCTAAGCTCTTTCAGCTACCGTGAGCTCACCACACTGAATCCATCACTTCCTTTATGCCGCATCCAATGGTCATAAATGAGTGCGCAAATGAACACGCTCACACTAGATTATTTTCTATTAACTATAATAGATCTAAGGTCCAGATCAGCGAGTGCACCATCTTCTCATGGTCTGCAATACACCAAATAATCCCATAGTTGACCAGACCACTTCTATGGTCCAGATACACATGCGCACCAAAGTTTTATGCGCCGCGATGCACCATATCAATTCACATAAGTTTAATTAATCAAATGGCCCTAATTGACGTATACACCCTATTATCCTACACCGCGCCGCACTGGATCAATTCACATGCGCCAGTTACCTAGTATATATATATATATATATATATATATATATATATATATATATATAATTATTTTCCTAACAAATAATAGGAAAATAAATTCTAATAAATTCCTAAAAATATCAGAAAAATTCCAGAAAATTACAGAACAATTCTAGAAAATAAAGAAACCACAATTAACTCTCTTGGGTCACAAATCCACCTATAGATTGATTTTAAAATATACATAACACCTATATATATCAATTAAAATCCAATAATCTAAAAATCAAATATAATAGTTTATACTTTTTAATTATTCCGATCTAACCATAATTTTTAAACAAATAAATTTAATTAAAGCATTGATACTCAAGGTGAAATCCTTATGAGTTCTAAGAGGAAAGTTAGAGAAAACTCGCCTGAAGGTTTCGAAACGAAACCGACGCTTTAAGCTTTAATTATCTCTTCCAATTCCGACGTCCTCCTTTTCAGATCCGACCTCCTCCTTGTCAGCCCTTCTTCTTCCTCTCTCTCTGACTGTTTTATTTTTCTAACTTGTAAAACCTTTAACCCTAAAGCCTTATGTGTATTTTTATACACCTTAAATTCCAAATCCTATTCCAACTAGTATTATGAATTAAAATAATAATCTTTAAATAATTTATATCTATAAACATATATATATATAAATATATATTCCTTCCATAATTAACTCATTAGTTAATTAAATCATATATACTTATAAATATCAATAAATATATATCTATATATATATATCTTTCCATAACAATTATTAATTAATTATATTTATATATAATTATATATATATATATATATATATATATATAAATATAATTGATACAAAAGTGATCATTTAAATAATTAAATAACCACGGACCTTCATTAATTAACCCAATAAGGTTTCATACAAGCCCAAGACCACATCTTTTGGTCCAACTTTCCTTAAGCCCAATTCAATTGATTTAAATAAATAAGATAATTAATTAAATACAGAAATTAAAATAACTAATTACATGAAGCACATAAACAAACAAGAATTTACAACTAAGTCATATAATACCAATAAAATCAACACACCAATAATTCAATCAATAATCAACCACACAAACAATCAATCATCATACATAATTACGAAATATAACTTAATTAAAATAAGATAATTAATCTAGCACTCAATAAAATAAAATAAATCATTGAAAAATAAAATAAAATAATTAATCCTAATTAATAAATCTTTTAAAATTATCGGGGTATTACAATCATCAAGCCACCAAGTTTCCAGCCTCCCTCTGCAACTCTCGGCCCTCTCTGTTTCTCCTTAAACTCACTCTCTGTTTGCTCACCAAGTCACAAGAATGCACCCAATATATTGGCAAATTGTACACACAATTCACACTACACCGTACCATTATCAAATTGCAATAGTCAAAAGAAATCATCATAGTGGACCCCACCACCCCATCCTTATCTTTTGTCATCATTTCACCAACTGCTTCTTTCTTTTCTTGACCACACCCACGTGAACAAAATAAGGCCTAAGAAATTTTATTGGCCACAAAGTCTTCAAGCTCCCTTTGGCGGAATACAATATATATATATAGATATATAATAAATCAAACCATAAAAAAAAACAAACCAACCCATTACTCCTGTGGGACCCGCGCCAATGACAAATTCATTATTTCTCTTTCCACTTTTCCTTTCTCTATTCCATTTCGGCAGAGCAGCTCCATTAGCATTTTGACAAGATATATAAAAAATCAAAAAACCAAATCAAAGACCATAAAATATCATACAAGTGAAACCCGAAATTAACATTACAATTAAATCTTTCCCTTTTCCCACGGTTGGCAACTTTCATCAACATACAATATATATATATATATATATATATATAATAACAAAACTAAATTAAATTTCAAAACCCATTAACTTTAATAAATACATAATTAATAAATAATTAAGAAATAGAGACAGTCTAAAAATCATAAAATTCGGATCATCACAATTTTTTTGTCTTATTTTGGATATAATCTTCTTTTACTCTATACTACTGAAAAGATTCTGAAGTGGAAGATTTTGCAAGTGATATGACGTGACTGATGTGAGAGAAATCTTTTTTACAATTTTTGTGCAATTTGAATTTTTATTTCTCATTTCATTCGACTATTTTGCTGGATAAAAACTATGTACTCCTGTAACTGGTTGGTTTAATGATGACTATTGAAATCAAGTCATTTCAGATAAGATGATGGGTTCTACATTTAATGCATGCTGCATCATGGAATTTTTTTTGGTTATATTGATGACATTGCAATATGTCTATCAAAAAATGAAGACATTACATGGCCTACATAGTTTTACAGAACCCTGTGGTTGCATGTCTTTTTTTTTCTCATCATTATGAATTAGGCTGTTGCGCAGGCTTGCTGTTTTCAGAATTTGGCATTGTCTAGATGCTAAAAAGCTTCTTATTTTCTGACATCATCATCCCTTTTTAGGGGCTCATAAGAGGCTTATCACATCACCACCAGTAGCTGTTTTTCCTCACCCCCTTGCAAGTGATCTTAGTTTTTCAAGGTTTGTAATGTGCAGCTGAACAATATTTACTAGAATATGGGTGTTACAATTCAAGTATTATACTTTGGTTCCATGCTGACTTTTTTTACTTGTGTAGGTACTGGAATTACTTGAGGAAGCAAACATTTGTTTTGGAATCATATGCTACGGATGTTAACTGGATAATGAACCGTGCATTATTTTCTTCCCATTGCTACCTATCATGGGGATTTGTGGCGCCATACTTTATGGCTGTGATTCATGTTGCAGCAGCACTAAGAAGTCATTCCAAAGGGTATTCACTCGGGGAAACAACTATTACTTCTGGTGGTGAGCACACTACTTTTCCTTTTTAGGTAGGTACAAGTGTTAGAAATCAATAACTAGAATCCTGATGCCGGATTACTCCTTATTTCTGGGTACAAAGTGAATCCAATGTTTGATAATAAGGCCTCTAGAACTTAATAAGAGACCTCTTGGATGTGATTGATAGGATTGCCATCGGAACTTGATCAGATAGGAAAATCATCTTGGGTGTGTTATTTGCCAGAGCGATATCATCATTAGGGCTCTTAATTGATTTATTCAATATTCATCTGTAGCTCAATGTGAGATGTTTGGTAATTCTCAAATAATCACATAAGAGAGTGACGAGCGTTTTAGATGTGCAACCAGGATGTTAGTTAAAAATAAATATATTCCATTCTTTTCTTTTAGGAGTTCTGAGAAAGAAAAACCAGGATATAGCTGCTGTTGGTGGTCTAATTTGTAGTTTCCGACTTTGAGTTGCAGTTCTTTATTCAAATGCTGTTTTGAATTTGCAGTTATTTTTCTTACTTCCTATCAACTGTTTTGTTCAGGGTTGTTCCTAGTAGGCTTCCTAGCTATATGCACTACTCTTGAACTTCTTTCGATGTGGAACTTGACAAGAATAGAAGTTCAACTATGCAACATGTTATCTCCTGAGGCACCTCCACTATCACTTGGTTCTTACAATTGGTGCCTTGTAAGTATCTTTTAATTCTTTTCATTCAGCAGATACAGTCAATGCAAATCATTCCAGTTGGTATTCATTTTATCGAAGTCCTAGAGCTGTTTTACAATGTCTCATGTTTTACAGTACTGCTACGCGCAAGCCTTCTAGATATTTGTATTACCACCTTAACTGATTCTCTTATATTTTGTTCTTAGCCTTGTATGTGAAAGTTTGAAACAACTCTCAAGTAAAATGGAAGAGACAATTTTGATTGGTCTTCAATGAAGATCACTTTAGAATACAGAGTTGGAGTTGTCAGCTCACCTTCACAGTTGTCTGACATAAGCAGTTATATAAAGCACGGAAAATATAGAAAGAAGCTCAAATTTATCTATGACCTAGTCTGTTGAATGTATTGAATTGCAAAACTTTATATAGAAGTAAAAATAAGCTGATATTTAGAGAAAAGTCCTTGTTCTTAATTCGGACATCTGTTAGTTTATTTCAGCTGGGATGATGTTGATTATTAGTTACTAAATCAGTTGAACTGATGTTCAATGGAGCAGGTATTTATTGCAATGCTGGTGGATAATTTTTTATACCCAATCTCTGCTTTGCGTTCACACTTTTCTCAGTCCATCAATTGGTCTGGCATCAGATACCACTTGAAGAATGGGAAGATAAGCATGGTATGCTTTTTAAGTCCTTCTGTTATCCTGAAAGCATGACTTTTTACTCAGACTGTTATTCCCATTTTGTAGACTATGTCGAGAATAATTTATTTGTTTAATATATCTACTTCAAGAAAAGGAAAGAACTTCTACGAGGGCACGAGTTTTATTACAGCACCCTCATAGTAGACTTCCTCCTAAAAAAGGCACTGTGAAGGATTTAGATATGAACACGCCCTTCAGTTCTAACAGACATTGTTATTGCTTTTATCTTGAGGTTGACATACTCTCTCTGAACCATATGGGATTTCTGGTGATTTAATTTGGGCCATTTTCAATAGGAAGTCATATACTCCGTAGTTAAGTAAGATGGAAGAACCAGTGAGGTCTTTTCAGGTTCTTTCGACTTTCCAAATAACAAAGTTGGAATAATATATATATATATAGACACACAATAATAATAATAACAATATATATATATATATGTACACGAACCAAAACCACCATAATCAAAATCAAAAACAAAGTTGGAATCAACAAAAGAGGACATAGTTGAAATGCATCTTGTTTTATTAGCAGAGATTTATTTTGCATATTGTGTAGATTGAAAGAAGCAAGGATAGCGGTCCAAGATTTACAGACTTGGGAGGAAAGTATTTATATGGTAAGAGAGGAGCTCAGCCCAAATCCTCGATCCTCGGCTCTTTGTCAAGAAGTTTGGCTCACTGGCGCCAGCCGAAGAAATTTGATGTCTAGGAATGGACCTTGAGCAACAAAAGGTTGTGAACATTTTCTCCTCCTTTTGTGGTGTGATGGGTAGAAATGGCTTGGATTCAAGCTTTCCAGGAGTATTTTTCGTCCCTCCTGGAGATATTGGCCAATTCATTATTGATTGATTTTAAGTGCTAGGAATTTTTCTTCATTCTTCAATTTATCATTCAATCGATTGATTCTTCACCTCCAACCCTCCCTTCTTGGCTGGTTTTGTAATTTGTAATGCTTCTGCCCCTGTAATTTATTGAAACCGTTATAGATTCAGAATCCCAGTGTAAGACAGAAAGGTTGTGCTTGTACATTTTTCTAGTCTCTTTAGAACCATCAGCTTTTTGTTACGTTGTGGAATTCGTTTATAAATCTTGACAGGGTTTGAGGCAAGCATCATCAGTGATGTCCATGGTACAAAACTACAATCTGATTTGTAAAATATAAATTCGATAATCATGATGATGTTAATATGGAAATAATAATAATATCTCTAAAGACATAAACCTGATAACTTGTGCACAATTCTGATTACAGGTCCCCCCTATGCTCCGAAAATAGGGGCAAAAGAGAAGATTATTTATTTAATTTTTTAACATATGTGAAATTAATTTAAATATCGAGTGCAGTTACATTTAAGTCTTGCGTGTGTTTGCAATCATTTCTATTTTACCACGCTGGGTAGTTGAAACATGGTCAGTGAGAAGGAGAGTCTAAAAGGAGAATAAAATCCATTTTAAATTTTGAATTAAAAATTTTAAAACAGTCTGTGTTATTTTGGTTCTATGCACAATAAATTATAAAGATTTGCTCCAAATTTTGGAATAATTTTGGTACTTTCTTCATTTCAACTTTATTATAATATTGTAGGAGTGCCCAAAATTGTCACAAGTTGATACCAAAATGCCTCTAGGAAGGTCAAATATATGACTTCTTTTCTCTCTCTTTTTCCCTTTCAGAAAGCAATCAATAAAAATATGCTTCCAAAGAAAAAGAAATCATACAAAGCACCTTTTAAAAATATTCAGTGTTGTTTTTAGAACTTTTAAAAAATATTTTCCAATTAATTTGAAAGTAGAAAGGGCCGAGAAGAAAAAAAAAAAAAAAAATGATAATCACTGCAGGAATGAACTTGCCCATGGCCCATGCAACTAAGGAAGTCAGTAGGCCATCCGCAGCGGGCTCTTCAAAGCCCATTTTGGGCGAGCCAATGGACTGTGTCAGCTGCAGCGAGCTAGCTAAAATTGGTAGGGCCCATTTTGTCTTATTCTCCAACTTATGCATAGTGCGCCAAATAGTGTCTTAAGGCACTGTTTGGTAGAATTTTATTTTATTTTTATTTATTATTTTATTTTTTTAAAAAACCTAAAAATAGGTTATTTTTAGCTCCTTTTAGAAAAAATAAAATTCATTAAATAAAAAATATATTGTTTAGGCACTCTTTATGGAAAAAAAAAATTTATTTGGGCCAAAAATAAATTCAAAAAGGTTTTTTTTTTTTTTTTTCCTTAAAATTTGTTTTTATTTTTTATTTTTGCTTTAAATTGTAATCCTTATATTCTTATTCCAATTCATTATTTTTAATCCTTATTTTGTAATCCTTATTTATTTGGGCCAAAAATAAATTCAAAAAGGTTTTTTTTTTTTTCCTTAAAATTTGTTTTTATTTTTTATTTTTGCTTTAAATTGTAATCCTTATATTCTTATTCCAATTCATTATTTTTAACACTTTTTTGTAAAAAAAAAAATTTAAAATTACAAATTCATCTACTTATTCCCATAGAATTTTGTAATACTTATTTTCTTATTCCAATTCATTATTTTTAATCTTAAAAAACCGTTATGAATATAGTTGTTTAGGAAAAGTTAAAAAAAAAAAAATTATTTTAATTTATTATTATTATTTTTTTTGGAGAGCCAAAATTCGGAGAGTTTGATGGAGTGCATGTCTCTGGAGAGCGAAAACTGCTGACGTGGCTCTTGGAATTGCTGATGTACTCTTGGAAAAGTTAATGTGACATTTGTAGAGAGCCAAAATTCGGAAGGCCTGGTGCAAATGGCCTAAGGTGGCTTCCCTAACTACATTGTCAGAACATATATATTTTCTCTAATTTCAGTGTTGATCAAATCTTTGTTTTCATTTTTTTTATTATTTAAAATAAACTTATTTTTTTATATATTAATTTTGACTTAATTTAAAATTGCAAAACATGTTTTCTTTAATTTGAAAGTAGTGGTATGTGAAGACTAATGAGCGAGGACATATCCCAAATAATAATAATAATACTGATAATAATAAATCAGAAACATATTCTCTTTGGCTCCATTTGGTTAGATGCAAATTGCAAGAAAAAGAAAGGAAATGAAATTTTTTTGAACACTTTAGAATCTTGGGTAGCAGGGAAAAGAGAAATTTTGAAGAAAATTTACTTTCTATAATCACCTAAATTTCCCATTAAATTTTCCTACTAAAAAACATACAATTTTTTTTGATTTCTTAATAAAATTTTATAAACTTACAATAATATCCTTTATTTTATGATAAGTTTGATACTTTTTTCCCACTCATTTCTTTAATTCTACTTTCTCCTCCTCATTGCCCCACTAGGGTTCCATTCAATGTGCTGAACCAATTAGACATGAGAGCACTTATGGGACATATTACTACAGAAAATATGGTGAGACTAGTTTTCAATTTGCATTATATATATATACACATTTCCTTTTTTTCTTTCAAATTATCTCTTTTCCATCACTTTTTCCTCTCACCCAACCAAAGAATTAGTTTGGGGTGAAAGCCAAATTTGAAGGGAAGTGGTGTTTATCTTATCTCAACTTTGATTTGGGAAATAGGATGCTCACATCATCATTGTTATTTTTGCATGGTCATAAGATATACAGGTAAGAGTGAACCCCACCCCTAAATGCACTAAAAAAAAAGTTGGTCTTCCTTGCCCCCATTTATTATTAACTAATCTATTAACTTTTTGAGATTAATCAACATTATTTTGTGTCGCTTGTGCCAACTAAAAAAGAACAAAGAAAAGTGAAACCACATTTACAGGCACACAGACATAATTGCATGTTACGCACACACCTCTGCTTTTAAGTTGAAAGTAGGGCAAGTGTGATCAACCTAAAAAGCAATTCCACCATCCTTTTATCTAAATTTATATTTGTTTAATATGAGATAAACATCAAATAAAGTAAATTGTTTTAACGTGTAACGATAAATTTGAATCATCTCTTGTGCACGGGACGATTCAGTACACATGAAAAAATATTAATCATCTACAAAAAATTAAGTTCATTATTTCTGTGCCATGGAGTTCATACTTGCTATAAAGTAATGTACATGTACATAGAAGGAGATCCAAAATAATCCGCGACCGATATCACGGATATTGTGTCCAAATTCTGAATTGACGAAATTACACAATAAAGTCCTAAATTGATAAAAGTTGGAGTTAACTAGTAAACTTTATAAGTTGATGTATAAATTAAAGAGTTTAATAGCTCATCATGTAACCCTTGAGATATGAATCATCCAGCCTAGAACATAATTAACTATCCTTTAAGTGCATTACTAATTTTAATTGACCGGACAGAAAAATGTGGTTATTTATCTTACCAAGAAAAGTAATTTAAAATAAATAAAAATTGGTTATTCTCACGGCTGCCTTTGAAGAAAGTCTGTGTTTTTCAAGACAAAACTATATAATTAAGCTTGCATATGAAGGTGGACTTATAACTAACCAACTTAGAATCACTAGACAACCCTGCCAAAGTTTGGCCACCTTACACTCACACACACACATACACACACACACACACACACACACACACACAAACACTCCATATATTTTTAGGGATTGCCTCAATGCTATGACTGTCGGATTAGTGGATTACTAATGTTTGAAATTTTCCTCTCGTGCGCATTCTATTAGTATTTTATAAAAATTATAGCCACAAAAATGTACGATATGGATACGGGAGGCTGAAATAAATAAATAAATATATATGTATATTGTAAATATGTAGCACATGTTATATAGAATACTGTTTAATAATATGTCTACATGTATAGTGTAAATATGTAACACATGTTATAAAGAATAACATTTAACAATAGATATTGGTTACTGCAGAGCCAAAAAGTAAGAATGTTGGAATAAGTTACGTGGGATTTGAATAATTTTGACCACTTTCTTCAAAAAGTGCTTTTATTTTCTTTTTTAAGGTAGTTCATTTTTCATGATGAATATTACTATATTTTAATTAAGTGGGTGTGTCGTACGATGATGGCTCCACTAATTAAAATTAATTATCACCGTAATACTAGTTTTGGGTAACCTAACCTAGAATAACCTAGGTTAAGCCCTTCAAACAAACAAGCCTGTGATAGGTATGCTACTCAAAAAATGGCAGTAGGGCGAGAGTGCCGGAGCTTCAGTATCTAGCCCTCTTGGGCATGGTGCGACCCACGTGACTTCTTCATTTGGCAATGTGGCACCCCTATAGTGAGTGTCAAGAAAAAAAACATACTATACCTTTCGTCCCAAAATGAATGGCCTACTTCGTTGCATCATTCGATGGAATGTATTGGGACCCAAGTGAGCAAGATTTCTTCAAAAAAAAGAAAAAGAGAGAGAGATAGAATTTGAATAATTTCAATTTTTTATAAGGAATCATAATATTTCAGATGGTTGAAGGAACAGTTGACCGAAATGATCCTCGATAATATTTAATGGATGCAAGTATCCCGGCAAGCCATTTAGGTCAAAATATTATTTTCACAAGTACGGCATATGTACATAAAATAATGTATAAATTCTTCTTATCGGATATGAGTTTAGTTAAACATTTCAAACACCATAACCTAAAGCATACCTGAATTAAGTTTAAGTTAAAAAAAATTCAGCCTTTCTAATTGTGAAAAACAATGGCAAAAAATTGTAAGATTTCGGATTGTGCTCAAGTTGACTGATCCAAGCGTCAACCCTAATCCTTGTTTTCTTTTAAAATAAAGACACATGCATGAGATATATTTGTGGCATTAGTATATCTTTCTAAGTTAATGGAGACAGTGAGAATCATTTCTCAGGGCATGGAAAATATGGAAACAGTAGGAATCATTTCCCATTGCATGGAAAATCATGGAGAGGATGCCAAAAAAAAAAAAAAAGAGAGATCGAGAAACTTCCACACCATCCCTGTAAAAGGTGGGGACTATATATTCATCACATGGTGATAGATATATATATATATATATATATCCTCAGGTGATTCAACAGTGCACTTAATTTACTGCATATTCGAGTCTTTTTTTCATTCGAATTTGTTCTGCTTAAAGTAATCACATGTACATCATATTGTTACTTAATATATTCTTTTCTATGTTATTTGGTCAATACATGCGTACGACTGTTGCTAAAAAGCCATCGTATCTTATCCATTACTTTTTTTATACCATGTTTTTTTTGCTGGTAGCGATTAGATAGAACTTAATTCCTCACTGTGTGTGCATATATGCCTCCATTATGGGAGGGAGAGAATTCGATACCCGCAACTGGCAGGCCACTATGCCCTAATTCCCACAGTATTCCTTTTCCCCAAATATAACCAACCCTTAAAAGGGCGTTCCAAAAACATACCCCTAAGAAATTAAAGATTACCCATTATTATTATTATTATTATTATTATTATATTCAAAATACATCAAAATCTCTTCTAGAGGAAATATGACAAAAATGCTGAAATATTTAAATATTAAAGTTATATCACCACCAGACAGTTAAAATTTTTAGAGTAGATGGTGGTTGATAATGTTTTTCTCCTAGAATACACAAACTCACACAGAAATTGTTACATGAACACTGACAGAGCACAAAGGACCTATTTGGTAGGCATTTTTGATTTCGACGTTTTGTTTTAACTTAAAATAAAACAAGTGTTTTCAATAGTAATCGGAAGCATGTTTGATAGTGTCCATTTGTTGCAAGATTTTGGAAGCAAAAATATTAAAATATGTTTAGTAAAAAAATGTTGCAACTTTGAAAAATATAATGATTAGTTTATAAATGTCAGTGAAGAGTTTAAAAAAAAATTTATTTTTCATTGCGGCACTGTGCAAAACAAAACAATTTTTACAAGCATTTTTTTTTTCACTCTTCATTGCTACATTACTCAACAAAAACAAAAACAGAAACAAAAACAAAATGCATATCAAACCGGCACAAAACAATCAAGTAATAACAGAAAATGTAATCACACACTAGCACATAAAAAAAGACAGATTTACCGTGATTCGGTTGATAACGTATGCTCACACAGTAAACAATGGCATTTTCACTATGCAAAATCTCTCAAACCCTAACTCCAATACACCATTTATTTATGTATTTCAAAATTCTCAATCGGAAAACCCAACAAGAATCTAGGGCCAAGACCAATATATAAAACGATTAAGATCGGGTAAAACTTCTCATCTTTCAGAATTCATTGATTGTCTTCCTCAGAAGTCCATATCAATATATATACATATATTTTGACAGTTCTACCTAACTTGAAAAGTACTATCTTTGGATTAATGGCAGCAAAAAAGAGTTGGACCAGACAGCCAACATGTTGCAGCAAGGGCAATTTCTCAAGAGAGACAATTAAGAATGATCGATATATATGCATATCTTGAATCCTAGGTCACTTAAATCTGTAAGCTTGTCTTCTTCTCCACATTATCTTATTATGTATGTTGTTCACTACTCGCCTATAAAATCTTCTTCTCTAGCAACATTAAATTTTATTCTTTTGGCAAGTCTATAATTGGTTAGTACTTGGTTTGATCAATTCCTAATACTATTAATAATTCTTGTTTCTTTTTCTGGTCATTCAATAATTAAAAGTTTAGATTCATAAATTGGGACTCGATCAGCTCATGAAATCCAATACACCTGTCAAGGTATCTTAAGTAGTTGATACTAAATAAACTATGTTAAAAGTAATGTAATACTAAATAAACTATGTTCTTAGATTCTGTACCATAATTCAATTTATGTGTAATGTGTTGGGATGAACGCATTGCCAATCTTTATAAGTTTAGGGGTCCTACAAAGGAGATTTGATATCTCATAAAATGAAGTTAATTTATATGTGAAGATCTAAAACAATGTCTGGAAAATATTTGATGATCTAATAATGTCATAGGTTGACATATTGATGTAATAGGTAAATATTGATTCTCTACTATCCCAAAACTAAGCTATTAAACTTATAAAAATAAATCAGATTTTGATTTCTTGTCTATTTAATTCAATCATGCATCAAATAAAATATAACATGACGCTCCAAGAGTATCTAGGACAGCTTCTACTGAAGTTGTGTGTGTGTGAGAGAGAGAGAGAACAAATACAGCTAAGGATATAGTGGGATGACAACAGGATCTGCAGCTGACCCCATCTAAATAGAGGAATATGTTTTATATATAAGATAACCTTCCTCTTCTTCTCACTATTAATTCTGAGGATTTTATTATTATTTATTTATTATTTTTATTTTTTGCATAAACCATTACCATAAGGTTTCTAACCTGTAACATAATCAATCAATCTACTTAAAACCAGGCCAGTGGCTTAGAGGTACGAGCCTCAATGAAGACATGTGTGCATGAGTATCAACTAAGAAAAAAAAAAAAAAAAAAAAAAATCAATCTGCTTAAATAATCTTAATTCACATCCTTTAGACAATTAGACAGCCTCGGATATCATTTTGTATGGCAGTGTTGAGGCCATCACTATGTTTTACATGTTCTTTAAATATAAATATAAATATGAGAGTTGTGATTCTAAATGCAATTGAGGTGGTGTGAAAAAAATATGGCTACCATCAATTTGCCACTTGGTTCACCATTAAAGAATGTAGCGAGATCAACGTTCAAATTCTTAGTAGGAGCAAAGAGTTCCAAGTTCTTAAAGGAGAGAAGTGTGTTAGTTTTCTTTCAATATATCCATATATCTATCTGTATTATTTAGCCCCTCAAAAAAAATTATAACTGTATATATATATATACGGCGCGCGCGCACACACTAAATAAAGCCTTATCCTAAGTTCCTAACTATTTGGGATTATATTATTTTTTTATCATTTTGTTCTAATAAAGGGTATAACTTCAAATAAAATAATGCACAAAATGATTATATCAACTATGAATTTAAATTTTGGTTTTTCTCCTAACATTATTTTTAGTGTGGGGGTATTATTTAGTAACGTAGTTGGCAGAGCACCAAGCACCCCAAAAGAAGTAATAATCTCTATCATCTCCGCCCACTTCCCTTTCCTAATTTATGTCAAGTCAAAAAATTTTAAGTGAAAAGTTGAGAGTTCAAGTCCAATGAGTTTCTTGTATACAAATATTTTTTTTAAAAGTAAATTAATTCAAATATAATTCTAGTACAATCTCTTTCAAGTGTTTAGATTCACACATCAATATTTGTACATGATGACAGATAAAAATAAATAACTCATGAGAGGGTTTTACTTTTATCTAACATGCACACTGTACTCCGTCAAATAGTGCAAAATAAAAAATAAAAAAAAAATGTCATTTACTTTTTCATCACGTTCACTACCGATGTAACATCCGTTGTCCATTTCTTGAAGCACTGGGAAGTTAACATTATGCTTGAGTTAAAGGAAGGTCTAATAAAAATGTTACACTAATTGTTAATTGACTTAATACACCCTCATAACTTTTCTGTGTACAATCTATTACCTAATCTTTGGCTGTTCTTAGCTGCCTACGATCAATTTATTATCTGGCTTTTGAAGCACATATTAATTTATTAATTTTCAGCTTTATTGAAAAGAATATATATATATATATATATATATAATTTCAAGTTGTTTTTCAGGCAGAGCAGTGAGAGCCAAATTAAGCTTAGCCTTAGAGTAGCCATGACTCAACAACAGTTCAATAATTGAAAATAAAGGCGACATTAAAGGAGCTGATTGATAAAGTAGCTTAAAGCCTTCATATCACATAATTAAACTAACTAAAAGGAAGAGAATAAAAAAGGGAACAACAATACTTACCAAAAAAAAGAGGTCACATTCATCTTTTCTTTAACACTCCTACAAATGGGATTCTATGTTTTTGGTGTTTTTTCAAAGTTACAACCACCCAAACATAATAAAAGAGTTAATATATAATTATATATTATATATATGTGCAACCCCACATAAAGCTTATGACATAAAAGTGCTGCTTCATGGAAAATCACTTCTCACTTTCTCTACATATATATTTATATAATCATAAAACATAAAAGTGTGTATATATATGTAACAACCACACATAAACCTTATGCATAAAAGGGCTGCTTCATGGAAAATCACCTCACTTTCTCCACACACCCACACACAAACAGACAGACAGACAGATATATTCATAAACATATATATATATATATAATGGGTCACTACTTGTTAGAGCAAAGTGAGGCTTCTATTTACAAGCTATTCCATTCTCTCTCTTCTCTATCCTGCTAGGTAGCAGACTAATTATCAGTTCTGTAGCTACATTGATATATGAAGAAAATGAATTGTTCAGACGAGAGCGGTTCGGAGAAAGGAGAGATGAGAAGGGAGAAAAGGAACGCTATAGGTATAATTTTCAGGTATGCAGATTGGGTGGACATTTTGCTTATGTCGTTCGGCACTCTCGGAGCCATTGGCGATGGCATGTCAACAAACTGTCTACTGCTCTACGTTAGTCGCCTTTTCAATAGCCTGGGTTATGCTAAAACTCAGCCAAATCCCGCAGTCAATTTCATGGATGAGGTCGAAAAGGTTAGCATTCATTGCGATCTATCGTGCCTTTTCTTTTCATTTTCATTTTATTTCCTTTACATTTCATGTTTGTGCTGTCTCTTTCTCTTTCTCTTTCTCTTTGTACTGTCTCTTTCTCATATGTGTTTTGTTTTTGTTGAACAGTGCAGTTTATACTTTGTATACTTGGGATTAGCGGTGATGGTGGCGGCCTTTATGGGTACACTCTTTTGCTTTCATTTACTTTGCTAGCTTTTTGAGATCAAAAAGAGAGTGTTTTGATCATTTCATGAGTAAAATTAATGGATAAGGCCAATGTATTTTCTTCACATAGTACTGAGATACGTACAGTGGTTGACTGTGTGGTGTAATAAGGACAAAATGTCACAACCAAGATTAACGAAACCCTAATTAAAATTAATCTTTACTCTAAACAAGTTATAATTCAAGAAACCCCAATTAATGGACTGATTCATTAATTTCCATGATACATCCAAAGAGCTCGTCAATCATGAGATAATTAGATTTATTAATTAATTTATTTATTTGTTGAGATTTCATGTATTTGACTAAGAAAACAATCAAATCTGTCTGCAGAAGGTTATTGTTGGAGTAAAACCAGCGAGCGGCAGGTACTGAAGATCCGGTTCAAGTACTTGGAAGCTGTTCTTAGACAAGAAGTTGGCTTCTTTGATTCACAAGAAGCTACTACTTCAGAAATCATCAACAGCATATCAAAAGATACTTCTCTCATACAAGAAGTTCTTAGTGAGAAGGTATATATATATATATATATATATATAGTTCTCAATCTGAAACTAACCTAGCTTCACTCATATATATATTACCTCTCAAATACCCAAAAGGAAAAAGGAATGAAAAAACAAACTTAATTTCTACTTATTTATTTGTGATATATTGAGCTAGTTTAATTTCATGACAGGTACCAATATTTTTGATGCACACATCAGTGTTCATCTCAGGACTTGGATTTTCCACCTACTTTTCATGGAGGTTGTCCATAGTAGCTTTCCCAACATTACTTCTATTAATCATTCCTGGGATGATTTATGGCAAATACCTTCTGTATCTGTCCAAGAAGTCCTTCGGAGAATACGGCAAAGCAAACACCATAATAGAGCAGGCTCTTAGCTCCATCAAAACTGTGTATTCATTCACTGCTGAAAAGAATATCATCGAGAGATATTCGACAATATTGGATCGAACAACAAAGCTGGGAATCAAGCAAGGAATTGCAAAAGGACTTGCTGTGGGGAGTACAGGGCTTGCTTTTGCAATATGGGCTTTCCTTGCTTGGTATGGAAGCCGGTTGATTATGTACCATGGAGAGAGTGGAGGAAGAGTTTATGCAGCCGGACTTTCCTTCATATTGGGTGGACTGTATGTGATTTCTTCTCATCAAATTTTACCTTAATTTCATAATTTTCTTTTATGGTACTTCTTGATCATTACTGATTTCTTATAAATTCAAATTAAAGTTGGCAATATTATAGCAAAATTATCCAAATGAATGAATATAACTAGAAGTATCAAATGACTATTCAAAAAATTGAGTTCCTGGTGTTCTAATATATATAACCAAGGACATTCCCTTTTACCGTTCAAAAATATATATATATATATATATATATAACCAATGTCTAGGACAAGTCCCAATAGTTGCTACCTTCAGTTTTTTTTCCTAATTAGCTCACCAAATTTTTTTTTTTTTTTTTTTTTTTGGGTGGCTTGGAAATTCTCTTACTAGTAATTAAGCTACAGTGGTCTTTCATTTTGGTGATTCTTACACCATTGGATTGAAAAGGGATTTTTTTTTTTAAAAAAAAAAAAGGAAAAAGAATTGTTTGACAAAACACAACCAGGCTAGCTAAGATGGGACATGCATATTCTCTAGTTTGGAACATATAATTAGTTCCAATTCAACTTGGTACTTTTGACCATAGATCACTATTGGAAAAAGACCTCTCCCATACTCATAATTGTAATGCCCTTCTTCTTGAATTTACTATTTCTTGAGCTTTATGATGATGAATAATTTGACTAATCCTGATCCTATTAAGCACTCAAGATATAATGATTTTGCTAATTTGACTAATCCTGATCCTATTAAGCACTCAAGATATAATGATTTTGCTTTTGCTATGTTTACTTTTTCCCCAACAGTCTATGGGTTATATTTACATAGCATCAATTTTACTCTCCTAGTTCTGTTTTTGTGTAAGGGGGTTGATTTTGGACATTAAAATTAAAAAAGAAGCTTTTAAACTAGTATAATTAATCAACAGAAAAACTTGCATACGTTTATAATTGTTCGCAACGAGTTTTTATAATCTAAATAAAAATGAGAATAATTTTATAGATATTGGCAGTAGTTTCTATATCAATTATGCAATTTTTAGGTGATTGACTTCTGTGTGCAGTGAAGTAGTAACCAATTAGTCTAGTCAATACAACCCCTCCTAATATATATATATATAAAGTTTGAAAATTTTCAACAAAGACTTCTAAGTTCTATCATTCGGCTACATAGAATTGAAATTGAAATTGGTCAAATTGAATGAAAATTTAGTTCAATTTTGTGAGTTGCTTTACTCCAATTCTGTTAATTCTAAGACTCCAATTTTGTACAGCCGAATATAACATATGAGTTTTCAAAATGGTCCACCATGTCACTGGTCAACACATGGTGAAGTCATCATTTCTAGTCCAGCTAATTAGTTCATGTACCATAAAAGGCTACCTCTCATGTTAATGATCAAAACACATTCTCTACAATTTCTATAATCATATATTAATGTAGTTGGACTCCGTAAGCTTTTTAGCTACCTTCAATCCATAAAAGGCTAGTTGTTATATATGTTTGTTGGGCAACAAAGTAATTTAGTAATAAAGCAAATATATATAAAGGGTGATTTACAGAGAGGGTTTTTGCTTTGGTCTTGGTTGTTTACAGAAGAGAAGGGATGACCCCTTTTCATACTAGCACATATAAAGAGAAGAGAATCCTAAGATCATGTATATATGAAGCTAGATTTTACAAAAATACCAAGTGTCTACTTTTCACACACACTTAAAATATAAGACTTCTAAATGTTCATAATTAATCTTCAATACTATTATACTCCCCTTTAAAAAAAATTGACTATGCTCCACTGTTTTTCTGTATTTTTATATTTTAAAATTGATACAACTGCTATAATTCCTCTTGTTCTTGCAAATTTCTTTGCCATGAAGTTAAGCTTCAATAAAAAAATAAAACTTAAGCTTTTATAACTCAGATACCTATTGAATATAAAAAGATAAAATTCAACATTCTTCTCATAATCAAATGCAAATTTCTCTATCAAATAAACAATTTTTTAGCTCCTTTTGTTTTCCTTCATCTCTTTTGCACATCACCATGCTTAACTTTTCTAGAGACTTCTACTTAGCTGTGTTTTGTCATGTGACCTGTCTTTCAATTCCTTTTTCATATGATTAGTATTTTGTAATTCTTGTTGAACATTCATGTAGGAAGAAAATAACTAATGTGACTCATTTTCCTGAAAAATATATGCTTAATTCTTTTCATTTTTATTTTTTTAACAAGCAATCCTTTGTGAATGATGAGGATTCTTCATCTTGTGCATCTAAAATTACAAATTTTGGACTCATGCCACTACTTTTTTGCAAATTTATCATGGCGAATCCAAGTTTCCTCATAATTTCTTTGATACCCTTTTCTGCCTAGCTTTTTCCTTGATACACCCTTGATAAATTTTGATTTCCTCCTTGACTTTTAAGGTCTTAACCTAAATGAGCCTCTTCCTCTTTCTTATTTTAGTCTCATTCAAATTCAATTTATAGTCACGTAAATGCATGTCCAGATGGTGCAGACCAAACCGTTACATCAATTGAAACCAGTGACAGTTTGATTGTGGATCCTTTGGATTGATTTTTTTTTTTTTTTTTAAAAAAATCCTTGGAACATTAAGAGTGAAATATTGAGTTGATTTTAGCAACATTGCTGTCATCTTCCTGATCATGAAGTTTGCTGAATTTAATGCAGATCACTGGGAATGGCGCTCCCTGATGTCAAGTACTTTACAGAAGCTTCAGTTGCTGCCTTGCGAATATTTGACAGGATTGACCGGATTCCTGAAATCGATGGTGAAGACACAAAGGGACTAGTATTGGAACAAATCCAAGGAGAACTAGACTTTGAGCATGTCAGGTTCACGTATCCTTCTCGCCCTGATTCCATAGTCCTCAAAGATTTCACTCTCAAAGTGGAAGCAGGAAAAACAGTAGCCCTAGTTGGTGCAAGTGGAAGTGGCAAATCAACTGCAATCGCGTTGCTGCAACGTTTTTATGATGCAGATGGAGGAGTTGTGTGCATTGATGGTGTTGACATAAAAACACTCCAGCTAAAATGGTTAAGAGGGCAAATGGGACTTGTGAGTCAAGAACACGCGTTGTTTGCAGCGTCCATAAAAGAGAATATCATGTTTGGGAAACTCGACGCCACCATGGAAGAAGTCATGGCAGCAGCAACGGCAGCAAATGCTCATAATTTTATTAGGCAGCTTCCTGAAGGATATGAGACTAAGGTAGGTTCAAGCGTGTGTTGATCATTTAACCTGCCTAGTAATTTTGTTACAATAAGTATGATGAAGTTAAGCAATATCGTTTCTTCAATTTACTGGTGATCCTATTCAGAATATAAAGTACTGATGTGATCAGATGTAACAGGTTGGCGAAAGAGGGGCTCTTTTATCAGGTGGACAAAAGCAGCGGATTGCCATTGCTAGAGCTATCATTAAGAACCCTGTGATTCTACTACTTGATGAAGCAACAAGTGCACTTGACTCTGAATCAGAAACCATTGTCCAAAATGCTCTGGATCAAGCCTCCATGGGAAGAACCACACTGGTATTCTACTCTCCCTCTCAATATGGTGATTGGATCCTCACGCACCCCTGCTGTTGTAGTGTGATGTAAAAAATTTCAACGCACACGTTAGCTCTATGTGTTGAATCATAGAACAAATGTGTTGAAACACAATTTAAGTACATTGAAAATCCCTACAACACGCAAATGACATAAAACCCTTTCGTTTTTTTTTTTTATTTTTTTTTTATTTTTTATCATAGGACACCCTGAATAGAAAGATTAACAAATTACCATAACCATATTATACATCTGATTATCTTGGATGATTCATCTTTGAATTGGGTTGAAACTTGGAAGGGCTTAATTCCAGTCACATGCCCTATAGTGGTTTTATAACTGTCAATAAAAGACTAGAAATGCCATCAAACTTTGATTTTATTAATTCTTACTGTTGTTGAATATATATAACAGGTAGTTGCCCACAAGCTCTCAACTGTAAGAAATGCAGATCTCATTGCTGTCATGAGTGAAGGTTGTGTCATTGAAATAGGTTCACATAATGAACTCATCAACAAGAAAAATGGCCACTATGCAAAAATGGCAAAGCTACAAAGACAGTTCAGCTCGTTCGGCTCAACTGATGATCAAGAACAACTCGTTGAAGCTCGAATCTCTTCAGTTGCTAGAAGCAGTGCAGGCCGGCCAAGCACAACCATGTCAAGCCCAGCATTCTTCGCTTCACCTTTGTCCATAGATCAAAATCAACCTCCTCTACCTTATCCTTCACCATCCTTTTCCAGGCTTCTTTCTTTGAACTCTCCTGAATGGAAACAAGGTCTACTTGGAAGCCTCTCGGCCTCGGCCTTTGGTGCAGTGCAGCCTGTCTATGCCCTCACCATTGGTGGCATGATTTCGGCTTTCTTCTCACCAAGTCATGAGGAAATGCGTGCTCGAATTCAAACATATGCCTTAATTTTCTCCTCACTTACCCTGGTTTCAGTCATTGTAAATCTATCCCAACACTATAATTTTGCTTATATGGGTGAGCAGCTAACGAAGAGGATCCGATTGAGAATGCTGGAGAAAATCTTGACCTTTGAAGCAGCTTGGTTCGACGAAGAACAGAACTCAAGTGGTGCCCTGTGTTCTAGATTGAGCAATGAAGCTTCCAAGGTCAAATCCCTTGTTGCTGATAGAGTCTCTCTTATAGTCCAAACAACTTCAGCTGTGACTATTGCAATGATAATGGGGTTGGTTATAGCTTGGAAGCTTGCACTTGTGATGATCTCCGTCCAACCACTCACAATCCTATGTTTTTATACACGAAAAGTTTTGTTGTCTTCCATCACAACGAATTTTGCCAAGGCACAGAATCAAAGCACTCAAATTGCTGTAGAAGCAGTTTACAACCACAGAATTGTTACTTCATTTGGAAGCATAGGCAAGGTTCTTGAGCTTTTCGATGAGGCCCAGGACGAACCGAGGAAGGAGGCTAGGAAGAAAGCATGGCTGGCTGGTATTGGCATGGGGTCAGCTCAGGGCCTTACCTTTATATGCTGGGCACTTGACTTCTGGTATGGTGGGAAACTGGTGGATTCTGGAGAGATATCAGCTGGGGATGTGTTCAAGACATTCTTCATATTGGTTAGCACCGGTAAGGTTATAGCCGAAGCTGGGAGCATGACTTCTGATCTAGCCAAAGGTTCGACAGCAATTGCATCTGTGTTCTCAATTCTTGACAGACAATCACTGATTCCAGGATCAAACAATGTAAGTAACAATATCTTTCAACTTTCATCTATACTTTGACAAAAACTTTGAATAAGTACTATGACTGACACTGGGTTGGAATTGAACTAGGCTGTTGATGGAACCAAGTTAGACAAAATGGTTGGCGACATAGAATTGAAAAAAGTGGATTTTGCATACCCGGGCCGGCCTGAGAGCCTAGTACTGCGCCAGTTCTGCTTGAAGGTGAAAGCAGGCACGGGCACCGGACTTGTCGGGAGAAGTGGGTGTGGGAAGTCGACAGTGATTGCATTGATTCAGAGATTTTATGATGTCGAAAGGGGGACAGTGAAGGTGGACGGGGTGGACATAAGGACACTTGATATTGGATGGTGTAGAAGGCAAATGGCACTCGTTAGCCAAGAACCCGTGTTATATTCTGGGAGCATTCACGACAACATTGTGTTTGGGAAGTCTGATGCTTCAGAGAACGAGGTGGTGGAGGCTGCTAGAGCTGCAAATGCCCACGAATTCATCTCGTGAGTATGCTCATATTTCAGGCCATGAGAAAAGGCTTACCGGCCTACGATTTTAATAAAATTTAGCCACTCTTAACATTGATTGTTTTCTTACTCTTGGTAGGTCACTGAAAGAGGGGTATGAAACAGAATGTGGTGAGAGGGGGGTGCAGTTATCAGGAGGACAGAAGCAGAGGATTGCAATAGCAAGGGCCATAATTCGAAATCCAATAATACTACTGCTGGATGAGGCAACCAGTGCTCTTGATGTGCAATCAGAGCAAGTAGTGCAGGAGGCATTGGATCGAATCATGGTTGGGAGGACCACCATTGTGGTGGCACATAGGCTCAACACGATCAAGAAACTCGACTCGATTGCCTTTGTATCGGAAGGGAAGGTGGTGGAGCGAGGGACGTATGCTCAGCTCAAGAACAACAGAGGCGCCTTCTTCAACCTTGCCAGTATCCAAAATATTAAATAGATATGATGTTCATATATATATATATATATATATATATATATATATCATATTAGCAGCTTGTGCTTATGTAAAATGTTGGCCTGGAATAACATGGAGCAGCCCATGCAATCCTTGAATAGTTAGTTATACAAGGAGAAATTTTCAACAATGGTAAATAGGATGCCCTAGTCTGATGGCTATCCCATCTCATGCCATTTTGTATAGAATCTGAGCTTCACTCTTAAGGCCTAAACATAGCATGAGTTGGATTGTTTGTCATCCTGTTTTCCCACTACTAACCTAATCTCCAGACTAGTACAACAATGAGTTTCATTCTACAACCCTTATATAAAAAATAAAAAATAAAAAGCTTTGGAAATATACCATCAAAGCTTATAGTCACAGGCTATTTTATATTTGATATACTATATATATAAACAAACACATCTCAATAAATGGTTTAAGCAAATCCAATGCATGAGGAATTGAGAATAAACTAAGGTATAAGCTATATCTATAGCTTGGACAAGCATTAAAAAAGTAATGCGACTCGGTACGTTTCTTCTGTGATGACCTTAATGGAGGAACATAATTATGAGGCAGAAAAAAGGTCAGCGTATGAGCATAATGCACTTTAAAATAAGTGAAGAAATGACTGAAAATAAGAAACATTGTAATAGATTCACTATTTTTAGCCTACCGATACAACTAGAATTGTTTTGAATTTTTTTTTTTTTTTTTTTTTTTCACTAAACACGGCTGAAATACGAGACACAAGCAGAAGTGTCACACCTCTAATTGGACACAGTTGGAACATAACATGAAAAAAACACCAAAACAAAATGGAATAGTTTTGTAATTATCTCGTATCCAATATTCTTCAAATATCTTATATTGTTATTATTACTTTTCCTTTCTTTGACTAATCACACTCTCTCACATCTACACCCTCTCTCCTTTAATTTATATTACTTTTCACTTTTCCCCACCACTACCTTTTAACTGGTTTCTTTTAGATACTTTTTTTCTTTTCTTTTTTTTTTTTTTCTTTTTTTTTTTTTTTTTTTTTTTTTTTTTTGTATTTTTCACCTTTTTACTCCAACTAACCAATTTCTTTATTTTATTTTTCTATTTCACAACTTTCTATATTTTTTTAGCCTACAGGCTATTATTTTACAATTCAAGTTTTGGCTCAAGAACATGACAAGTTATACCAAACCTGCAAACTCAAATTCGTCAATCCCGATAATTTGTTTGTACTGAACCCTAGAACTATATTGCAACAGTTTGTTATGGGAAAAATGCCAGTAAAAGAAAACTGCTAGCAAGAAACTACCGAGTGCATAAGAAAATGGAGAACAAACTGCCATACACAACACGGATAAACTTGAATGAAGGACAATTGTGTGCATAATTTTACATATTCTTCCAACAATATTTGTGAAGATGACATCCTCCCTACATAGGGAGGTTATACCATTGGCCTAATGGCCCATTGGTATTGACTGAATTTTGTTTCAAACAAGATTTTCACCTATGGACAAATGAATCGACAAATCAACTTAAGGATGCACGATGACATAGGTAAAATCAAAAGACCCTAAAAAAATATTAGAAAGGGTGACTAAACCAAGCAGACCCTAGACGAACATCAGCCTCAGTTAAGGTTCTCTGTTTCCAATCATTCAAATAAAAATCAAGAATATGAGTACAAATGACCCGCTTTCTATGTTCTTCAATCATTGTTCCGAATGCTAGAACTTGCATTTTCCCCCCAGTTTTAGATATACCTTAGGCTGGTACTTGTATGACTACTCAACAGCCTCTCAAGTAGTGAATGAAATCATCTATCCAGACCATAAACTCGTGATAATTGCATAACTATAGTTTACAAGTTACCACACCACAAAAACAAAAGGACAAAGGAAGAAAAGAAAAGGCACACCAAACATGAGCAAAAGAAATATTACAACCTATAAACATTATAGACAATCTAAGGATCATTCAGCGGTAATTCATCGATAACTTCGGTAGCTAGGGGTATACATACAGCTTTCAGCATATTTTACAAGATTCTCAGGTCGAGGGAAATGTGTTGCCACGCCTACAAAGCATGGGTGTAATTAGTCAACATGAAGGGGAGCAAAAGTTACCCATAAAGCATTCAGATCAGAATACAGTAATAAAGAGTACTCACCCAGTTCATATGCTTTGGCAGCTACATTAGCAGCAATATGTGCAGAGATTTTTCTGATATTAGAGATTGGGGGGTATATTAAGCCCTTATAAAGGTTCTCCTTTGTAACTTGCCCAGCCAACGCTTCCGCTGTTGAAAAAGGTACATAGACAATCAAAATTGGACTGTGATTACAGTCTATTCCTATATGAAGGCCGTGTACATCTATCATTTTGGAATGTTTGTTGCATAGAAATCAATAAAACTTAATATATTTACATGAAAGTTTTGCATTTTCAGTTAGAGACCAAATATTCTCGACACCATCTATATGCCGCAATTATGTAACTAAATTTGGTAGGAAAGTCGCGCACCAATAAAGGAAAAGGAAAGGAATTTCCTTACTTTAATCAAACATAAGTAATATTGAATCAATATAAATTTCATGAGTCTTATGGTCTGTATACTTACAGGCTGACAGAAGCATTTCATGATGTCCACGAATTGCACCAGATATGACCAAACCCAAACCAAATCCAGGAAAAATGTAAGCATTGTTTGCCTGAATCGACGCCCCAAAAAAAAACACATAGAACTTATTCCCCCACTGTCACGCCCCGACAATTCCAATAAAATCCCCTATTTATTCAACTCAATACATCAAAATACACCCAGGATCACAAATATTGCCCTCTTTTTATACAAAATCAATTTCCTCAAATATACAAAAAAATTCTCCAAATAAATAAAATAAATCCTGCAACGCCAACTCTTCATCCTAAGCCCGTCTCTACGATCCCCGTCCATCTTCGGTACCTGAAATTGGATAGTGGTGAGACAAAAGTTCCAGTAGAAAAAACCATAACAAGAATTTCATGAAGGTTTAACAAAACGACTTCACAAAATAAACATATACAGGTGAGTATTGTAATGGGTATGAAGAGAGATATATATATATATATATTAAAGTTATAAAGTTTTTTTTTTTTTTAAAAAGCAAGTGGGCCCCACTAATGTATTAAAAACACCACAAAGGGCATAAGGCCATTTCACAGACCAATTTCTCTCTCTCTGCGTCTCTGTCCAGAAGCTTCCCTTTCTTTTCTTTTCTTTTTCTTTTCCAACTTCAAGCTTTGATTCCTCCTCCCATACTTGGAATTTTTTGGTGCTATTTGTAGCAAATCGAAGAGCACGGCGAGCTCTACGTGTGAGTACCAACAATTTCAGTTTTGGTGCACTCTAGGGAGTTCGAAATTCTAGGGCTTTTGGGCTCAAATTGGGGGTTTTCAACAATTTGAGGTAGGGGTGTTCTAATCTACAATTTCTTGGCCTTTAGTGAATTTTTCCCCTTAAATTTGATCCTAAGCATGCTAAATTTTAATTACTTAGCTTGTTGTTGTTATAGTTATGTGTAATTACAATGATAATTGTATTCTATGTGTTATTTGAGTTTATATACATGTCTATTTTCATTACGGTAAATGAGCATGCTTAGTGTTTGATGTGTTGTATGTTCCATGATTAGTTATTTATTTATTGTCTTGAAGAAAAATGGGTGCTATGGTTATAAATAAATAAATAAAAGAAATGAATGTTTAGAAATTTTCATTAAATTGTGATGATGATGTAAATGGAAATGTGTGAAAACATATAGTTAAATTAATGATTTGAAGTATGAAGCATTCATACATCCATTGAGAAAGAGAAAGGGGGAAAAGTAATTGTTAGAACAAATAAAATTGTTTTGGGGAAAAGACTTTCTAAAAGTGTTGCGAAAATCGGACGCCTAGGAGGCGCCTAGTGGTCCGTGATGTTGGTGCAGTCTAGAAGGGAATGTAGTTGAGTTAACTAGGCCGGATGCGACGCCTTGGAGGTGCCTTGTGGTCGTGGATAGTTAACCAATCTTCCTTTCGTGACGCTATGAAGGTGTCTTGGGTCGGACTACACTAACGGTTTGGTTGTTGAAACGGAATTGTTTCGGAAATGGGGAGTGACATTTGCATAACATTGCACTTCATGACATCATGGTAAATTTGTGATTAGTTGATATTTGTTATATACTTGTTACTGTGGTTGAGAATGTGTGTTTTCCGATGGCACGATCCCGTTCACTTTTTATCTATTCATTGTATGGATTCACGGGGACATAAGAAGTGTGTCTTAGACACTTCCTACTAAGCTTATGCTCACCCCCTTATTTTTAACATTTTTTTTAGGATATGGAAAAGAGGTGGCGGACGACGGTCCACCACAAGTTTAGATGAGCTTGAAGACCCATTCTATTTTGTTATCTTTTGTATTAGACTCTAATATTTTGTAAATGTAATATTAACTACCTTGTAACACTTTAGTTTAATTAGTATAATGTTGTAAGTTATGGACTTTTAATTCTAGCTACATTTTATGGACTGTAATTTGATGTAACTTAAGTGGGTTCCATGTTTGGATGAGATGGAGGAACGGGACTTTTGTATGTATGTAACCATTTTGGAAATGTAGTATAATATCTGAATTGTGCGTTGGGACAGGATAAGTTAGATTTAAGGCCCAGTGAGGCCATTGTATTTATTTTTTGTATTTCAACAGGTTGTTGAGGGACATTTTCTGCGGAGGTCATGCCAAAATTTTTATTATTATTTTGGTATCTTTTCGGGTCGTTACAAATTTGGTATCAGAGCGATGGTTCGAATACCATTAGGACGACGGGTAGAGGCCTACCAAGGATTGCATGGGGAGTTGAGTTATTTGCTTACGTGATTGCATGCTTATATGTTTATGTGTTAAGGTGTTTAATTATTTGAAAGGCATGCTTAATTGTTTAAATGCTTATATCATTACGTGTTAAGTGGTTAATATTGTTGTATATTATTATGATTATGTTTATCCTTAGTTGGGTATTTTGGAAGTATGGAAGGTGTTTATGTGTTTCCATTCTTGTCAAGTCATTCGTGTGAGGACTCCGTTCTCGTGCGTGTTTTAGTGTCATCGTAATTGATCCGTTTCCTTTTCTTATAGCTTCATGGCAACACGAAGGGATCCCGGGGAAAGTTCTAGCTCCAATCCCGTGGAAAGGGATCAGGAGCAAGTTGAGGAAGATATCTTATTGCGTGATTTGGTCCCACCAAGAGAGGGACAAGTGAGGGGGACCGTTGATCCACCCTTTCAGATAAATAGGGAGCAGTTGAGGTTAGCCGTTCAGGAGGCTATTTTTGATGCATATCGACCGACAGGTGCGTCATCGTCACAGTTTGTGCCACCACCACCACCACCTCCAAAGAAAAATGAGTTAGAAGATACTCTTTACCACATTGCAAAGTTTGTGAAATTGATGCCAACTTTGTTTTAGGGCGGTCCAGATTCGCTTGTTGCGGATAGTTTCATGGATAGGGTGGAGAAGCATATTAATGCCATGAATTTGGCAACGGACAAGTTGAAGATTACATTGGCTACTTACAATTTTGTGAGCGATGCTGAGATTTGGTGGAAGACCGTTTCTCACACCCATAATCTGGATACTATGACATATGCTACTTTCAAGAAATTGTACTATGAGAAGTACTTTCCGGCGTCTAAGCGGAGGGAACTAAAGAAGGAGTTTGATGGGTTGAAGCAAGGAAACATGACAGTTACAGAGTATGAAAATAAGTTTACATTACTTTTGAGGTTTGCATCGGGAATTACTAATGATGAAGAAGGAAAGATAGAGAAATTTATTAATGGCCTTGATCTTACCATTAGGCCAATTGTAGCTGCTTCAGAACCGATAGAGTATGCAAAAGCAGTGCGAAAGGCTTTAGTGGTTGAGGCTGAGAGCAAGGACAACAAGGCTATCAGGGAGTCCTACAAGCACAACAGGGGTATGAGTACTTTCTCCGAGGGTCAATCAAGTAAGAAGCAGAAGCATGAGCAGTCAGGGTTCAGGGGACAGCAGCCAGTCAGATCTGCACCCACAGCTTCAGTGTCTATGGGGTCTTCTAGACCGAATGTTACTTGTTTCAGATGCCGGCAGTTGGGACATTACAAGTCCCAATGCACTCAGACTCAGGTAGCTCAGGTGATTTGTTTCAAGTGTGGGCAGCCAGGGCATCACAAGTCCCGGTGTACTCAGATTCAGGTGGCGTCTGGTGGATGTTTCGGGTGTGGCTTGCAGGGCCATAAGGTGAAAGATTGTCCACAGCGGGGCAGTGGGTTGGGCAGAGGTGGAGGTTCACAGCAGAGGCAGATGCAGTCTGCCACAGTTCAGTCAGGGTTTCCACCACCACCACCACCTCAGCCGTCTCAGCCAGCTATGTCAGCCCAGAGTTCTCGACCTGGTAGGGGAGCTTCTTCGAGTGCACCTATTCAGCAGTCTGGCTATGAAGCAGGCAGTTCTCAGAGGCAGAGGACCCAGGGTCGTGTGTTTGCACTCACTCCAGCCGAGTCACCATCCAGTCTTTCAGTTGTCAGGGGTATGTTTCTGGTGTCCCATTTTTTGGCTCGTGTATTGTTTGATTCCGGTGCTTCTTATTCATTCATTGCTTCATCATTTGCACGGGCATTGGGTTTAGAGGTCAGTCAGTTAGATAGACCGTTTTGTGTTGACACGCCTATCGGGGGTTCAGTTGGTCTTAGTAGAGTTTGTAGGAGTTGTTCCACCACAATTGCCGGACGTGTTCTTGAGTTCGATCTCATCCTTCTCGAGATGACGGGATTTGACGTCATTCCTGGGACGGACTGGTTGTCATCCTTCAGAGCTGTCATTGATTGTTTCAGGGGCAGAGTTTCAGTGTGTACCCCGGATGGGGATTGTTTCTGTTTTGTGGAGATCGGTGTGATCCTCTTACTCATTCATTTTATGGTGTTAGGGGTCGAGATCGGCAGACATTCTTCTTGGCTAGTCTTCTCGTTGATGATGACGTTGAGTTTTACGGGGTTGATTATCCAGCGATTGTGCGTGACTTTCTAGATGTGTTTCCAGAGGACTTGACTGAGTTGCCTCCACACCGAGAGGTGGAATTTGCTATTGATTTGATGCCTGGTACCGCGCCAATCTCTATGGCACCGTATCGTACGGCACCGATTGAATTAGAAAAATTGAAAAAACAACTTGATGATTTAAGAGTGAAAGGCTTTATACGACCGAGTGTGTCACTGTGGGGTGCACTTGTCTT